TCTCTAAAGTGCCAGTCACCTTGATGCATTCTAGTTACTAGTTTCTTTTAGACCTTTCCAGAGACTGTATGCACTAAGACAACATATTTATGCAATATTTCCCCTCATGCTTATACAAATGGGAGCATATTAATGTATTGTTCTGCATTTCAAGTTTTTGGAGATCTTGGAGATGTTGGAGATTTTTCAAGCACATGAGTTGGCCTGTTCTTTTCATGGGTGCATAGTAGTTCATTTGTGTAGATGACCCATAATTTATTTAACTAACCTCCTTTCTATAGGCATTTGGGTTGCTTCCACTTTCTCAATACTGCAAACAAAAATCTTATACATAGATCATTTATCCTCATGTGGGTGTATCTGTAGAACTGAATGCTTTCAAGTGGAAATGTTGGGCTGAAGATCAGCTGCAGTTGTGATTCTGGTAGACAGTAATGCTCTGCTCTCCCCATAGGCATCTGTAATTTTTGATAATGTTACTTCTTTGGAAAGGAGCCAGCCTGACACAGCAGCAAATGCTCCTGAGAAAGAGTGAGATCTGACATTGAGTTCCACACCATAGTCACCTGCTCTGTGTCACTGGGAAGTCACCTGTGTTAGGTTCTTTACCTGAAAAGTGAGGGAACACTGTAGCTCTCCCAGGGCTCATCAGTGCCTGGCACAGAGGGTCCAATTCACACCAGTTAAAAGAAGTCAGTCTGGCTCACAAAAGTATGGACGTCTGTGGGGAGACCAGGGATGCCCAGCACATGTATCTGCAGGGCAGGTGCCTCTTCCTGAGGTCAGGGGAGATTCTGTCCTCCCTGCCCAGAGCAAGCTGGGAACCCCTTTTTGAAAGGCATCCTGGTAAGCCCTACTTTTGGGAATTCAAGCTTGCTTGCCCACCAGGCTCTGCACCCACTTCCCAGTTCTGAGGAAGAAAGAGAAGCCACCACCCTGCGGGCCATCCCAGGCACTATGTGGGCAGCCCACAGTGCTGAGCTCTAGACCTAACTCATGAAGGCCATTCTGATACTTTTTACCTCTTTTGGAGATAGGGAGCAACTGGAAAAATAGCATCCATAGATCTGCAGGAGGAACATCTTTTCTCCTTTGTATCTGAAACTGTAAGTTTATCCTACATCTGACTCTTTTTTCTTATTGTGTATGTAAACACTTTAAAGCAGAAAATAAAAAATTCCAATAAACCCTGCAATCTCTTCTCATGAAGCCATTCTTAGTGCTTGCCAGAGTACATGAGTGTTTAACACGACACATAGTGACCAGGGCGCCTGTGGATCCGGCTGGTAGCCTGCCCTTGTAGTCGTTGCCTGTATCCACCTATCTCAAATATTCCTGCTCATGGCTATACGATGTTCTACTGTGTTTGCTTGACCATGTGACTCTCGGGCAACAAACTGATATTAGCAGTGATGCCACCAGGAGCCCTGTTGCCCAATCTGTGTGCTTTTTCTTTCCAATATTCCCCCCAGAGAGGATGAGGGGCTGCCACCTACAATAGCCTGCACTGAGGATGAACAGGGCTCACTGCCACATGCCTTCAGGTCAGATGATGGGGGACCCTGCTGAAGGCCAGCAAGGGGGACATGAAGCAGGGCAGAGGGGACAGGCACTCAACCAAGGCTCTCTGGATTCCTGCCTCAGCTTTATGACCAGTTGAGTGGATGTGGGGGGAGCTGAACCCTCTAAGGCCCTGTTTGCTAGGATCTAGGGAAATACTAGGACGGCTCTAGGATTTGCAGCAACAATCCTCTGGCAGCCCGGCCCTGGAACCAATCCCATTGGAACTGGTGCAGCGAGTCCCTCCTCCAACCCTCACCTGATTCACCACTCCTCATCCTCTCCTTATCCAGGCCCAAAGAACCTACAGCAGAGCTGGGCTGGCAAGGACAAGCTCGGTATTTCCTTGTTCAACCACCATAGCAATAATATTTTCATATTTAATAGTGTTAAATGTAAATATTCCAATTTATCAGCAAACAGTTATATTAAAAAAATTCATGAAACTACCAGTCGGGGTAGCAGGAGGATCGCAAGTTTGAGGCCAGCCTGGGCAACTTAGGAAGACCCTTTGTCAAAATAAAAATGTTAAAAAGGCTGGGGAGGTAGTCTACTACTATTACTGGGGATGTAGTATATTACTACTGAGGTTTCACCTTTTCATATGTTCACTGGCTCTTTAAGTTTCCTCTTCTGTGAATTACCAGCCAGTATGAATTCTATTAGTTAGCAAACAATATGCTTTGATCAATTTTCTTTTGAGGTATTTTGCCTTTTTGTTAATAATGTATAATACCTGAAGAACTTTGAAAGAAAGATAACTGTTCCAGGCCCATGGGACCTAACCACTCCCATAAGATGGCCACTAATCACTCTGGAGGGTGGTTCTCCCATGACCAATTACTGTCCATTGGGCCCCACTGCTTAAAGATTCCTCTGCTCTTCAAAATTGTTACACTGGGGACCAAGTTTCCAACACATGAACCTTTGAGGAACAAGCCACCTCCAAACCACAGTTAATGTACATAAAATTGCCCATTTTAATCATTTTGGAGCATGCAGTTCAGTAAGTACATGCAGAGCACTGTGCAATCATTACCACTATTCACTTCCAGAATATTTTCATTGTCCCCAACAAACTCTATATCTTTTAAACAATAACAGCCTGTTTCTTTCCCCCAGCACCTAGTAAAACTGCTCTGCTTTTTACCAATCTGCTATTCTAGGGACCTCAAATAAATGGGATCATAACATAGGTCCTTTTGTGTCAGGCTTATTTCACTTAGTGAAATGTTTTCAAGGCCTGCCCATGTTGAAGCACGTGTCAGATCTTCATTCCTTCTTATGGATAGTATTTAATTATATATATCAATCACAGTCTTTATCCTTTCACCTGTTGATGGATGTTGGTTGTTTTCACGTTTTAGCTATTCTGAATAATGCTGCTATGAGCACTGCTGTACTAATATTTGTTTAAGTACTTGTTTTCAATTCTTTGGGATACAGAATTGTCGCAAGAAAGAGAATTGTCAGATAGTAGAAAAATTGGATCAAATGACAAATCCATCAAAATTTATCTTATTTTACTGCCTGTATTTTTGGTGTCATATTCTAGAAATTGTTGCCAAATCTAAGGTTACAAAAATCTTCCCCCTCTTTGAAAAGTTTATTGTTTTAGCTCCTTTTTTTTCCCTGTGGTACTGGGGATCCAACTCAAGGCCTTATACCGTTGTTTTAACTTTCATGGCTTTGATCAATTTTTAATTCATTTTTGGTATACAAAGTAAGGTAAACATTAAACTTTTTCATATGGATACAGTTTTCCCAGCACTATTTGTTGGAAAAAATCATTTTCCCCATTGAATTGTATTGACACCTTTGTCAAACATTTTCTGGACTCCGTTATATCCCAATTGATCTATAACTCTGTCTTAATGATAGTACTACACTGTTTTGATTACATGGCTTTGCAGTAATTTTGGAATCAAGAATTGAGTCTTTCAACTTTGATCTTTTTCAACATTGTTTTGGCTATTCAGCTCTTGATATTCCATATGAATTTTAGGATGTCAATTTCTGCAAAAATACCATTGATACTTTCAGGGAATTGGACTGAATCTGTAGATCACTTTGGGTGGTATGTCATTTTAACAATAGTCTTCCAATCCATGAACATGAAATGTATTTACATTTATTTATGTCTTCCCTAATTTCTTTCTGTAATCTTTTGTAGCTTTTAGTGCACAAGTCTTCCACCTCCTTGGTTAGATACATTTTTAAGTATTTTATTATTTTTGATGCCACTGTTGAGTTGAAAAAAAGATCCTTTCAGCTTGCTCATTGTTAGTGTATAGAACCGGAACTGATTTTTGAATGTTGCTTTTGTATGAGGCAACTTTGCTGAATTTCTTAATTCTAACATTTTGAGGAATCTTTAGGATTTTCCAAATATTAAAATCATATCATCTGTGAAGAGAGATAATTTTACTTCTTTACAATTTAGACGTCTTATTTCTTTTCTTTGACTAACTGCTCCAATTAGGACTTCCAGAACTATGTGGAATAGAAGGAGTGAAAGAAGTCCTTGTCTTATTTCTGAGCTTAGGGGAAAAGCTTTCTGCCTTTCACCACTATAATGTTAGTGGTATATTGTACATATATATATTGCTTTTATCATGTTAAGGGAGTGTCCTTCTATTTCTAGCTATAGTTTTTTTTTTTTTTTCTAACTATAGTTTTTTTCCATGAGAATGAACTGAAATTTGTTGGGTTGTAACCAGATGTTGAGGTTGACTCCCGCATGTGGGGATCAGGTGGGGCAGTGGGGACTAAGGAGCTATCAACAGAGAAAACCCTTGTTGGAGTGGTAGGTGAGGGCCAACCCCAGTTAGCCAGAGCCGTGAGACTGTTGGAGAAGGAGAGGAGAGCCACAGAGGTACTGTGCCAGAGGAGGAGCCTAGACCAGCTTCCTCTGTCCTGGACAGGACATCAGGGCCCTCTCATCTGCAAGGAATGTATGAAGAAGCCCAGTTGGGGATCAGGCTCAGGGGACTGGTGAAGGGTCAGGGGGAACCCCAGCAAAGAGCTGGAGCAGGTGAGTGCAGGTTAATACTGTGCACGGAGAGAAAAATGGCAGTGCCAGACTATTCTGAGCTAGGAATTACATTCACAAGATATAAGTTAGCAAAAAAACTGAAGGGAAACAATGGACAGGGGAGACCAAAGGGTGGGGCCAACCTTTAGCCCAGGTTTCTTTCCTGATATGGAAAATGAACAAGGGCTCCGAAATGAGATCCAACTTTCCTCCTTGAGAGAATGGCCGAATGTCAAGCGCTGGCCTGGCAGACTCCAGAAGGAACACAGGCAACAGAGCAGCCAGGCACTACCAGGCAGAACCTCCATGCTTGTCCCTCTCCACCTGCCCCACTCTGGAAGTTCAGCTCACCCTGGCTGCTCTCTCTAACTCCAGAAGGAAGGAAAGAATTAAGATTCCATTCTGATAGTTTTAACTTACAAAAAAAAGTTATTTATTAACTCAGGTTTCCTTTTGCTTGCCATAATACATAAGCATGACATAGATGGCCTATAAGTCGGCACGGAGTTGTCAGAAAGCCCCACCATTCACTGACACTAGAGGTTTGTGACGGCCTTGGACAACAGAACTATAGTTACAGTGTGATTTCAGGCACCATACATGAAGCTGAGCAACCCAGGAGCTCAGCATCCGCCCGGGCTCAGGAACATGAGAATCAAAACTTTACGCAGATGACTGAGGACACCTCCGAAAGAGCACTGCCGCACTGCCTCTCCTCCTCACAGAAGCAACAGCTTCTGCACTCAGGGCTTGGAGATCGGAGGCTTGTTCCCTTGGGAGCAGGGCTGGCCCGAAGACCTGCCTGGTCTGGCATCACCCCATGGCCAATGGTAGGAAGGCTGCATACCCAGGTCCCCCTGGAAGCAATCCTGCACACCAACCCAAGGCTGGGCACCATGGTGGCCTTATCAGCTCTTCGTCCTGCCAGCTGGTGTCACTGCTGCTTGTGTGGTAGAGCCTTCCAAGTGGGCGGGAGCTTCCTGTGGATCAGGGTGAGCCCACAGAGGATGAGGAACACTCCTCCCCACCACAGGACTTCCTGGCACTCTCCATACAGCACGTAGCCCAGGAAAGCCTGCGCAGAAGAGATAGCGGTGAGGGACCTGCCCTCCATGGGTGGGCATAACACACTCTCCTTTGGCTGACATTCTCCCTGAAGGCGCCAGCAGCAAAGGTCTAGAGCCAGCATCCTGGGGCTTCGCACCCAGCCGTCACTTTCACCGCTCACTCCATTCACCTCTGACTCCCCAGTAGAAGTGGGGTGTCGCCTCACTCACAGCATTAGACCCTAGCAGAGAACGTGAGAAAGACCTGGCACAGGCTGGCAGGTGGACCTAACATAGAGATGGTTCCTGGCAGTCACTGACCCATGCTAAGCCACCACAGCCTTCCTCCCAGAACTTTAGGAATGACTGGGCTCAGCTACGCCCTGTTAACTTCAGACCACCAGAAGGAACTTGGACCCTCCAGGGCTCATGCTCAAATTCACAGACGCCTAGGTGACAGCTAGGCTACAGAGGGACTTCAGAAAGAAGTCCTCAGCCTGGAAGGAGCACCAAGCCAGGCTGCATTCTTATCTAACTTGAGAAGTCCATCATATTTTTTTTTTTAAGTTGTAGATGGACACAATATCTTTGTTTTTTACTTATTTTTGTATGTGGGGTTGAGGATTGAACCCAGAGCCTCACGCATGTGAGGCAAGCCCTCAGCCACTGAGCTACAACCCCAACCCGTCCATCATATTTTTAAAAAATATTTTTTTAGTTGCAGATGAACACAAAATATTTATTTTTATGTGGTGCTGAGGATCAAACCCAGTGCTTCACACTTGCGAGGCAGGCACTCTACCATTGAGTTACAGCCCTAGCCCCAACCCTTCATATTTAATGGCTCCATGATTAGAGGAATAGCAAAGTGGGGGTCAGCCAGAGCCCAACCTCTGCTTCACATCCGTCCTTTCCCCTGGGAAAGCAGGGGTCCCTCATGGACAACTCACCCAGAACCCAGGTTTAGTACAAGGGCACCAGACCCTCAGGCTACTCACTGAGCTGAGGATGTTCGAAAAAGTCACTGTGACAGATGCAATGGCTGAAGACATGGAGAAACTGAGGCCCCGACTGAAGAAGGTCCACATCAGGGAATTGGTGCTCGCCATCACAATAATGCCTAAGATGCATAAGCTCATGTTCACCTGTGGGAGAAAGTGTCGCTGCAGCCATGCCCACCCACCTGCAGCTCCCCTTACAGCTCACTCAGGGACATAACTGTGGCAGCCAGATCCCTACTGGGATGGCACTATAGCCCATGGGGACTCAAAACTTTCTAGGGCAGGTTTTCATTTAACCCTCAGTGGGCAGCAGACCCATCTTCCAGATGGAACAGTCAGAGAAGACTCTTGCTGGCTGTGTGACCCTGGAGCAGAAGTAAAACACTAACCCAGAATTAGTATTTTCCAGTGAACACAGACCTCTTACTGGTCCCACAGGAACCAACGCTTGCAGACCACAGGGCCTGGTAGTTATTACTTGGTATGTGCTATAAGTAGGGTGGGGGGAGTCCTTACTTCCCAGGATCAGGTAAGGCACAAATTGGCCATACCTCCCTCCACGAGGCACCCCAATCCCCAAGTTACAAGTTCATTCAGGCCAGCTCCTCAGGGCATTCCTGGGCCTCTTTTGTGCTAAGACTTTACCTGTGCAGGTGTTTTTGGTGCATTCTTGCTTATTCCTTAACTTCATTTTAGAGATAAAGAACCAGGGGCACTGCATAACTTGCCTAAAGTGCCACAGTATGAGAGCCCATAGGATTCAACCCTAGACACTGTAGTTTCATGCTCTTAACCAGGACATAGCCCTGACTGGGGATACACCATCTGAAGTGATGTGAGTCATTCCAGGCATCACTTCAAGGACCTAAAGATTTTTTTCTTTCTTCTTTCCTTTTTTTTTTTTTAAAAAAAAAGAAAAAAGAAAACCTTGAGAGAAAAGGGGATCTTTAGAAGCCTCCTATACAAAACCTATATAGACCTTCTTGCTTGGCTGAGAATAAGGAAACTGCCTGCAGACATGCATGCTTCTTCCATGGATTGGGCCTATCTAGATCTAGACCCCCTACTTATTTCTCTTAGGTTTACCAGAAGCTAAATATTTGAGAAAAGAGTGCCTTTTTTTTTTTTTGGTGGTGGTGGTGTTGGGGATTGAACTCAGGGCTTTGTGCATACTAACTGAGCTATTATCTCCAGCCCAAAAGAGTGCTTCTTTATAATTTACACAACGCATCTTATGGTCCAGTGGCAGCCTGTGACATAAAGGGTTATGAAGGCTGGGTGGCAACTGATAAAGACTAAAAAACTTCCCAGTCCACAGAGTCACTTGTTTTACTTTGGACCACTTACAAGAATCACACCCAACAGTACTACCAATTGTAAGCGTGGCAGCTCCCGCTGACAGCCCTAAATAGACTGTCGGGTCTGAGCCCAACTCTGGGTTGGGGATGCAATGAGACTCCTCTATCAAGCAGAGAGTAGGGGGGGGGGGCGAAGGGGATACACCTGAGCCCGGGGGGGGGGGGGGCGTTCTCAGTTCAGGGGAATTTTCAGACGGTTCTTTCCAGTATCCCCGTATGCCTAGGGTACCCTACACGCCCAATTTTCCTGGCAATAGGGTAGACCGGCCAGAACACCCGATAATGACAGAAGAGCGATGGGCAGCGGGTTTCTCACCTTGGAATCGCGTGCAGAGAAAGTCTGAGGCACAGGGGACTTAAAATGAGAGGTGGGAGGTGGCGGTCTCCCCCAGAGCGAACTAGCCCAACCGCAGGGAAGGTTTTAGACCTGTCAGGAGGAGGCCTCGTCCGCCGTCTCTTACCGCCCGCGCGGGACCCGGGTCGGCGCGACTCGGGAGGAGGCCGCTCCCGCCTGCCCGGCTCACTGTGGCGCCAGCTGCAGGCCCCCCGCCCGCCCCGGAGCCCGCGGCGCCCGCCCGCCGCCCCCCGCCGCCCGCCCCGGGCTGCACCTCGCTGCCGAAGGCCAGCTTAGCGGCGGCGGCGGCCAGGGCCCCGAACGCGCCGGCGCACAGGCAGTTGAACGCGCCCCAGAAGCGGCGCCGCATCGCGCCGGCCTGCAGGTGCGGGGGCACCTCGGCGGGCGTGTCGGGGTAGGCGGTGGCCGACACGGCGCCCCTAGGGGGCTGCGTATGTGGCTGCGGCAGCGACCGCGCCGCCATGGTGCCTGCCACCCGCTGCCCGCCGCCGGCTGTCAGCCGCGCGCCCGCCCGCCGGAGCCCGAGCGCTGAGGACGTGCCCACGTGACGGTCCACGCTCCGGAGGCGGCCACGTGACGTGCTTACGTGAGCCCGTCGTCCGCAGCTCCCGTCTTACGCAGGGTGGTGCAAGGCCCGCAGTGTAGATGCCAGGTCCGGGGCCCGCGTGGCGGCTGTGGGTGCGGAACGACAGCCGCTTGCAACCTGCGGCCTCAACCCGGGCCACACAACGCTGCCCTGCACCGACCCCCGCAGCGTATTAATGCCCAGTCCTGACTCGTCGGAGCCGCGAGTCACCTGCTCCCATGCTTCCTGCCCGCTCACCTGTTCTTTCTAGGTCCAGACACGTACAATGAAGAGTTGCTTCGACAGAGGGCGCTGGACACCTCCGGACTGAGAAAGGAGGCTGGGGTGGGGAGAGGGTGGTGCGCCCTACGTGGGAAGTTAACATGAGGGTAGGCAGTGAGAAGTCGTCCGTAGTCACTCTGCTCAGATCAACGTCACCTCTGATCTTCTATGCAATTATGTGTCTTTATAATGTCATTTAAAAATTGCATTTTCTTGAAATCATAGAGCTGTTGGAATGTATGCTATTTCCACTCTCCAGGAAAATTAGTACTTTTTCTCTATGCATATTTAGTTATATAGAGTACAAATGTTAAAAGTATTTTATATATGGGATCCCCAGCCCACCCCATCCCCCAGCTTCCGTGCTGAGAATTGAATCCCTCGCCTCCTCGCATGCTCAATCACTCTAGTGCTAACTACCTCGCCAGCCTGGGACTTTTCTAAAACACAAATGATTTCACAGCACACATAATGTTCAACAGCACTCTGTTCCCTGTTTGGGAGTTTTCATGGAAGTCTTTGTGTGCCACCTTGCTTCGCCCATAGGGTGGTTTGTGGCTCAAATAAAATCATGGATGATCCCTATAACTCCTATGAGGTATAGACTGTCCCATTTTGCAGATGAGAAAATTGAAGCTCAGAAAAAATACATAAAGTAAACCCCGGCTCAAAAATGTTCCCCTCAAAACTCCTACCTTACTTTGAATCTTCAGGAAATCAAGTGGTGTCTGCCTGATCAAGACTGCATAATGTACAAGGGGTTCTCTTGGAACAAACAATGTCTTTTCTAGGACTAGCAGTTGAGCATCTTCAAGCCACCTGCTCTGAAATTTTCACCAGTCCTGTGGTGGTTCCTCTGGTTGTCTGTCTGTACTAGCCTGCCAGCTCCTTGAGGATAGTTAATTACATATTCAGTTGTTTTCAGGTGTCTAAGGCCTAATGCAGGGCATTGCATTGAAGCTATCCTCAGCCAACCTCCTGGGAAGTAGTTTCTGCTCTTAGGAGCTCCCCTGGACACACAAATTACCTGGGAATCTTAAAAATGAAGGTTCAGATGAGGTCTGGAGCTGGACTGAGGCTCTACCGAGCTCCCCCAAGACAGTGGCAGTGCTACTGGTTAAAGGACCACACTGAGGAGCAAAGCTTTAAGTGACTGTTGTTCTAAGTGCACGTGGGCATCCTGCAGCATACATGTCCCCTCACAGGACTTTGTCAGGGCAGAAAAATACATGCCTTTTTCTGTTCCTGCTGCAGCACTGGATAGTGCGGCCAACTCATCTGTGACCTTTCTACAGATGTTTGAATACACTGTGGACAAACTTACTAAAAAACGATGCAAGCCAGAATTGCCTCAACTGGGAAAACGAGGGGAATCTCCCATTTAAAAAAAAAAAATTAAAACAAAACTTAAAGATGGCTTATAAGCAAAAAAATGACCCATTGAGTTCTGGGAAACCCTAAACTCCTCCTCACCTAGAAGAGCCAGATGTCATAATCTAAAAGGGGGCAAAGAGGGAATTTTAAAGCGTGAAGCCCCTGGGGTGATGGTGGGGGGCTGTGGTGATCTGGGCAATGAGTGCCTTCTGCCCCCCTTTTTTCTCCAGCCTTGCCTCAGTGTCATTTCTTTTCATGGTGTCCATTCCTCTGTCCCTGTCTTTTCTTCTGTTCGGTCAAACAAATGAGCACATAATCTGGGCCAGGCCCTTCCTGTTCCAAGCATCATAGTAACCTGGATGCTTAAAACCAGATCCCTGTACTCCTTGGGTTCTCAATCCTAACTCCATGTCCTGAGGACAACCTTGTCTTCTTTCCTTGCTATGAGTGATGTTACGGGTTAAATTGTGTCCCCTAAAAAGATAGGTTAAGGTCTTAACTGCTGGAAGCTGTAAGCGTGACTTTATTTGGAAATAGGGTAATTGCACATGTAATCGCAATAATCTAATCCAGTGTGACTGGGTCCTCATAAGAAAAGTGGTGCAGAGGCATGTGCAGCTTGGTGGTAAGGTGATTATCTAGCATGCACAAGGTCTTGGGTTTGATAAAAGGCGGGGAGCAGTAGGGAGAACCCCATGATGTATGTGATACTGTGAATGGAGTGACACTTCTACAAGCAAAGGAACACAAAGGATTGTTGGCAACATCAGGAACTGAGAGAATGGCATGGGACATATGCTCTTCCGGGCCAACACAGCTTGATTTTGGACTTCTGGCCCCAGAACTGTGAGAAAATAAACTGTTGCTTTAAGTCACCCAGTCTGTCATTGGTTATGGCAGCCCTAGCTAAACACAGGTGATAAGGACCCAAGCCTCTTCACTACCAGTGTCAGTACTCTACCTTCTCCCTCCAAGGCAGTTGCTACCTTTTACATTCCCAGCTTTTAGGGATTTACTACTATTCCTTGAGACTTCAAACATACATTAAATTTAAACTTCTTTCTACAGCTTTATTAAGAGGTATAACTCAAAAACTGTAAAATTCACTGATTTCTTTTTGGCAGTATTAGTGATTGAATCCAGGGCTTCTTACAGTCTAGGCAAGTGCTCTTCAACTGAGTTATATCCCCAATTCTTAAAAAAAATTTTTTTTCAATATATGTATGTGTTTGTTGGTACTTTGGATGAACCTAGGGGTTTTCTAACATTGAGCTTCATCCCCAGCACAATTTTTATTTTGAGATAGGGTCTTGATAAGTTGGCTTAGGATGGTCATGGATTTGGAGTCCTCCTACCTCAGCCTCCCAAGTGTCTGGGTGTGTATGACCATGCTTGGCCAAATTCACTCAAGTATACAATTCAATCTTTAGTAATTTAGAGTTGCGTAGCCATGTGCACAAACTACATTTCTGTCACTTGAAAAAGTTCCCTCATGCCATACAGTCTTTCATACACCAAGCCAAGCAACCAATGATCTGCTTCCCATTGTTTTGCATTTTCTGAACATTTTACATAAACAAAAGCGTGTGATATACATGTAGTCCTTTGGGTCTGGTATCTTTTATTTAGCATGTGTTGTGAGGGATCAGTTTGTCCCTTGTATTGCTCAGTAGTAGTATTCCCCAATATGAAAAAATGTTGAAAAGCCTTAGTCACCAGGGAAATACAAGTGATATACCAGTACAGACCTACGAGGATAGCTGTAGAAAGATGGCTCTGGGACTGTAAAATGGCACAGCCAAATGGTATATTTGGAAAAGGTAAGCAATGTCTAGAAAGTTAGACACTTGCTTCACAGATGACCTAGCAATTCCATTCCTAGATATGAATCCTATGTCCACACCAAGATTTACATATTTACAGTGACATTATTTCCAAGTTGGAAACAATTCAAATGTCCATCACCTGATGAAGAGATATATAAAATGTGACATATTCATATAATGGAGTATTATTCTCAATAAAAAAAGAATTAAGTTCCAATACACAGAAGCTCCTTGAGGGCAGGAGTTTGTATTTGCTTTGTTCACTGATGAGCAGAGCCTGGCATCCAGTAGGAGCTCCACTAAGTATATGCTGAATAACCAGGGAATAAACAATCTAAGACACTTCATTGTTTTTTAAAGACTTTATTTGAAAAATGTTCAATATTTACAATCATAGAAAATGCTCATGAGAATAAAGAATACCAAAAAAAAAAAAAAAAACCACACAACTATATTAACAAATTCACTACAAAACCAACCATTAGCTTCACTGAAAGTTACTGAACCACCATATATTGTTAGAGCTGCCACAAGAATCAAAGGAGATTACCTGAGAAGAAAATGATCTAACAGCTACTGCAAACCTTAGCTACAGGTTCTTATTTTAAAGACAAAAGGGTTTTTTCAGTATTTACAACCAATTTCAAGTCTGAAAATGGAGACGTAGCACCCTTAATAGTATGCTGCATACTGTCACAGGTGTACCTGTATACAGTATGTTCATTAGAAAACTCAAGGGTCATTTTCTGCCCCCCTATACACATGTCATAATTAAGATCCTCAAATTCAGCTCTGCTAAGTAGACAAGACTATGTCTTACTTTTGAGAAAAATAAAAAATAAAAATCTCCAAACAAGATGATGCCTTGGTAGTTGACCAGGATCCTTAGGATTCACTCTTTTTCTTTTCCTTTAAAAATATATTTTCAGCACGCAACTTTTCTGACTCCTATAAGTAATTTAAAAAAAAGAAAAAAAAGAATTAAAAGGAAAAAAATTAAAGCCCTAATTCTTTCAGGAGTACAGGAGGAGTTATTCTTACCATTTATTACGTTTATATTTCAAATTAAGATTAGAATGTTTGATTTTTAAACTACTCAACAAACAAAAACTGGCATTTATGAGAATTTTAACTGATTCAATTATGTCAGATTAGTAATGAACAGAATTATTTTGAATTTAGGAAGTTCTCTGAAGCTGTTAATTGACGCAGTCATTAAATTTTAATTAATTTTACCAAGAGAATCACTTTGAATTCAGAGTGAATTTATTCAGAATGCTTTTCAGAGTGTACCTCGACAAGCCTGACATTTTCCTTCTTCAGTCGCACTACGTATTGAATCTTCTGATGCAGGTTTTGGTGGCCCACCAGCTTCCCATTCTCCTCAGTGAGAAATTCCACCTGCTTCCTTAGCATCGTCATCTCCTGCAGGAAAATCACCCCAAGGAGGTAAACGAGAAGCAGAACTTTCAAAATTACATTACTTCTTGCCCTCCAAGAACACAGGAAGTGAGAGTCCAGATCCCCAGCTTCTGTGGCCACACACCTCTGTGTACATGAGAGAAACGTGGAAGCAAGGACATGCAATCACAGAACTGAGCTTGTGTGGATTAGTTGTATTTATTTAAGTGTCCTAAGAACCGTGAGAAGTCCCCACGCTAACACACCTGGGACCTTCTCTCACTCTCTTCATACATCTCTTCCAGTTTTGATCTCAGACGTTCCTTTTCCTGGAAGGCTTTAGACTCTAATGCTCTGGTTCGAACAATTTCCTCAATCATCCGGAGACACTCCATTTCCCTGATGTGAAGAGCACCCTGGACTTCTTCTAGACTGTGTAAGAATAAATATTTCATGGTATGCCAAAAGAATGTATCTGAAAAACAGCACTCAAATTAGATATTTCCCCTCTAAGCCCCAAATTAAAATTTGGAAGCATCACTGATATTCAGATCCCTCCAGTCAGCAACAGAAGAAAGCCAGGCTGGGGGTGTGGCTCTGGGCGAGTGCTTTCCTGGCCTGCACCAAGCAGAAAGCCAGTGCCGCAGAACAGAGGAGCTTTTTTTAGTTAGTTACCCAAGACCTTCTCTTCTCTTTTATCTCGGAAAACTTCAAAACACTTAAAAAAAAAAAAAAAAAGATCAAGAATGAAATTTTTCAGCCCACTCAGAGCAGAAGTAATCTAAGTATCACCACAGTCTGCATGGTTTATTCATTGTCCCATATCTCTGTAATCATTTCCAATTTTGAAAACTGGTCCTCAGTGGGACACCAGTCATTTCTTCAAGGGTATGCAATTTAGAATTTAGAATTTTATATAACTATCAACTGAAAAGAAACATAAGAAATAAGGTTATTATTTTTTAATAGAGTTTAAGGGACTTCATAAAATTGTTTGAATATAGTTTCCCAAGAGGAACCAATGCTTTTTATTATACAATGCACATGCGATGTAATCTTGAAATCTTGATTACTGAAATTATGCAGTATGCAGAACTTACTATACTACTGCAGGCCAGTTTTCTGTGGGTTTAACCTGATAAGACAATGTCTACCATTTGCTGGGTCCAATTCCCATGCCCAGTGATGTGTGTGCTCCTACCTGTTTCAAGGACTCCTGGTTACTAGACTGTAAGTTACATGCCAAGATAGATAGCTTTTACTCTTTTTTAAAAAGGTCTCAAATGAATATTATTTCTAAAATGGCTCTGATTCTACAAACCATATGTCTGGATTCTCAAAGATCCTGTAATAAGCCGGCACAGTGGCACACACTTATAATCCCAGTGGTTAGGGAAGCTGAGATAAGAAGTCCGAGAGTTCAAAGCCAGCCTCGGTGAGGTGCTAAGCAACTCAGTGAGACCCTGTCTCTAAATAAAATACAAAATAGGGCTGGGGATGTGGCTCAGTGGTTGAGTGCCCCTGAGTTCAATCCCTGTTACCGCTCCCCCACCCCCGCAAAAAGAAAAGCTTCTGTAAAAGATCTGGGGTTCCTGGCTTAGTTGTACCACTAACTGATTGGAAGACAGTCTCTGAACTACTCATATGCAAATGAAAAGGTTGTTTCCACATGTAGCACATGTATACACTTTTGAGCCTATGAAACAAATGACTCAATGATTAAGTAATGAATCTTTCACAGGTTGGGTGGTCTTTGACCACCTGATCAAACAAAGATCATTAAAACAGTATTTCTGATGAGAGAGCACCATGATTTGGGGTGGGGGTGGGGGGCAGTGCTGAGGATAGAACCCAAGGCTGCACACATGCTAGGCAAGTGCTCTGCCTCTTAGCTAGATTCCTAACCCACCATGTAAGTTTTGGCATATTAACTTGGAAAGAGTTCAAATAATTGGATGACAGTACTCTTAACTCCTTCCACTGCTATTTGCTAGTATGTAAATGTATGAAAAAAGATTTCTCAACATTTATATCTATAAAAACATGAACAGAAATGATAATGAATACCTGTCTCATTTTAGAACCAAGTGTAACAGAACAGCGAGTCATTTGAAGACAAAGCATTAGAATAAAATGCATTAAAAGATGCATTTCCACTAAAATCTTATTAAGTATAGCCAGGATATGGTGGTGCATGCCTGGAATTCCAGCTACTCAAGAGGCTGAGAGGCAAAAGGATCACAACTTTGAGGCCAGCCTGGGCAAATTAGACTCTGTCTGGGAAAAAAAAAAAAAAAAAAAGGTGGTGGTGGTGGGGTTGGGGGTGGGCTCTAGAGATATTGATAGAGCACTTATTTAGCATGTGCAAGTCCCTGAGTGTGTTCAATCCCCAGTACTTAAAAAAAAAAAAAAATTTAAATTTAGGAATTTAATGGCAGAGTACTTGCCTAGCCTGTGTGAGGCACTGGGTTTCATCAGTACCACATAAAAACAAACAAACAAATAAATAAAGGTATGCTGTCCACCTACAAAACAAAAAAACAAAACAAACAAACAAAAAAAACCTAGGAAGAAATACAACACTTGTACACTTATAACCATATGATTTAACATACATTTTGGAGGCTGGGAACATGGCTCAGTGCATGCTAGCAGCCCAGCACAAACAATGCCTCCAGCTTGCACAAGGCTGTGGGGTTTGACTCCTAGCACAACAAAAACCCTCAAAAGGGTTACCCTTAGCTTGTGTACATATTTTCATTGCTAAGTAGAATGATGGGTTAATCAATAAAATATTCCCCCCCCAAATATAATTTATTGGGATAAAATTCTGCAGAGTACAGAATGGAAACTCAATTTCAAAGGAAAAGGGAACAATGTATAATTTTAGACTCAGAAATTTGCTGTTTTTTTGGTTTTTTTTTAAACCTAGGGTTGTGCTTAATCACTGAGCCACATCCCTCACATTTTTTTTTTTTTTGAGAGAGAGAGAAAAAGAGAGAGAGAGAGAGAGAATTTTTTTTTTTAATATTTATTTTTTAGTTTTCGGCGGACACAACATCTTTGTTTGTATGTGGTGCTGAGGATCGAACCCGGGCCGCACGCATGCCAGGCAAGCGCGCTACAGCTTCAGCCACATCCCCAGCCACATCCCTCACATTTTCAGACAGGGTCTTGCTAAGTTGATTAGAGCCTCACTAAATTGATGAGGTTGGCCTCGAACTTGGGATCCTCACCCCTCAGCCTCCCAAGTTCCTGGGATTATAGGCATGCACCATCATGCTTGGCTTGCTCATGCATTTTTTTTCAGTGCTGAGGAATCAAACCTAGGGCCTCATTCATGCTAGACAAGCACTCTACTGCAGCCCTCATTATCTTGCTTTTTTCTTTTTTCCCCCCTTTCCCTTTTTTGTGGTACTAGGGATTGGACTCAATGGTCCTCTACCACTGAGTTACATCCCCAGCCCTTTTTCATTTTATTTTGAGAGAGAATCTTGCTAAAATGCCCAAGCTGGCCTCAAACTTCAGATCTTCCTGTCTTGGGCCTCCCAAGTTGCTAGGACTATATGTGTGTGCCACCATGCCCAGTCCTTCTTGTATTTTTAAATGGATAGAAAGTAGCAAATTGGTTGGAAACCTTTAAAAGAATGACAAGAGTTTTAATTGCAAATGTTATCATGTTCAACAAGCCAGACTATTCATCCTTTGCAAATAATTTAAATTTATAATGAAAAGTTTTAGATAAAAGGCCAAATTGAAAATATGTAAGAGGGTATATGGTAGCTCAAAATTCTCTTAAGATGTATAACAAGTAGAAATGTTTGAGGTCTCTGGATTGGTAATTACTCCATCTTTTGAATGTTATTTTATCATTTTATTGGTTACTTAGTTTGAACTTGACAGAAAATACACTGTACCTTGTTCATCAAAGAATGAGGCAATTTATAAGGATATATAAATTAATGTGAAAACTATATGAATAAATTAAAATCATGGCTTCAAAAAAAAAATATGACCTGTGGGTACCAGGGGCCCTCCTCAAGGTTTTAAATCAGAGGGAACCAGAATAGATGTAAAAAGGGAATCCTGGCCAGTTATACTGTTCTTATGCCCATGAGGAGAAAACTGCATTCCTCAAGGGAAGTTAGGTTTTTCCATGTGCTTATTTTCTAAAATTCCCTTAGAGGAGAATAAAGAAAAGACAATCAAGCATTTGAACTACAAAATAGTTTACTTACTCTGCCTTCATTTTCATCATTTCTTCGACTATTTTACTCTATAATAAGATTAAAAAAAAAAAAAAGGAAAAAAAAAAGATGGCTTAAGGTCCTTTATAACATCAAATTTCAAGATGTTAAAACATTAAAAAGACTGAAAAAGAAAGCAATCCATCCCTCATGCTAATAAAATCAAACCAATGTCCTCTCCCACAATCCCAGTCACACATACATCACGGGGTACATATTCACAAGGCTTCATGCGCTGTGCCTTCTAAGGCTGCTAAGTGAAGAACTGTACTGGGCACGCCGACCAGGCGACTTCCCACCAGGCACCAAGACAAACCCCCTGTACTTCTCAGCAATGTCTAAATGCTGACGGCAAATATTATGCTCAACAAAGGATATGCAGGAAAGACAGGAATCTCAGTAGCAAAATAGTTTCAAAAACATGTAGTTATGAAAACTTTCTCATAGAAAAAGACACTATTGTGTCACGTAAATCATACTTTAGCAAGTCTTTCTTTGATAATTTCTTCTTCTTCTTCACCCTTCAGCTGTTGATTGTTGGGATGATTCTGGTCACTGCATAGGTTAGAAGAGTGAACAGAGAAACATTGTCAAGTAGATCCAAGTATCAGTTTCAAATTCATTATATGTAGCAACGAAAGTTATGTCAAGAAAAGCTAACTCTTTGGTGACTGGGTCAAGTTAGTACAGTTGATATATGTGACCAACACATGGGATGAAGTAAGGTTGCTCCCCAGAACTCAGGACTCATTCCTCCCAGTACAAAAACATGACAAGCAGAGCTGGGAAATCTAATCAAGACCTGGTTGAAAGTGAAAGTAGAAACTAATGCAGAGTGGTAATACCTGAAGATCAAATGGGGGCATGGCCTTGGATGAGCATGATCAGGTGGGAGGGGCCTTTTTGAGTGGGGAGTGTTTCTCAGGGGGCCTCTGGGTGGCTTGGCCCCTTGGAGCCCGACTTCCCCTTTGGATTCTCTACTCAGCTGGCACTTTCTGACCATTCTGGCTTCCCATGTATTGCAGATACTAGGGAAGGGGGTTCCCTAGGAACCACACAGAAATCTCTTCCTGAGAAAGGAACGCTCCCTAAATACAGACACACGACGACACTCTGGATGGCACAGCCCCCTCTGTGAGGTGAGTTCCGAGGACAGTCCCACGGACAGCAAGACCTCCCCCTTAGAAAACCTGCCTGAATGCCGTGAGCTTCTCTAGGAATCTCTCTCTGTCGGGTGAGTACAAGACCATTTCTTGAAGGAAAACAGAAGCTACAGTAAGGTCTCTTTCCCTTAACGAATCTGGCAGCCTAGACAAAAATGGCAATGAGACTCCAGTGAGGAAGAACTCGACATTATGGGTGGGGGCGGGGGGCGCAGATGCTTCCTGGGTGCTAATCCAGGGATAGGCAAACTTTTCCTTTTCTTTTTCTTTTTTGGCAGTACTGGGGAGTGAACCCAGGGGTGCACTACCACTGAGCTACATCCTCAGCCCTTTTTATTTTTTATTTTGAGACAGAGTCTCACTAAGTTGCCTAGGCTGCTGTGAACTTGCAATCCTCCTGCCTAGGCCTTTGAGTTGCCAGGATTGTAGGTGTATATCACTGTGCCTGGCAAAGGTAAATTTTTCCTGTCAGGAACTATAGTAAGTATTTTAGGCTTTGGTGGCCGTTATCATCTCTGTCACAGCTACGCATCTGTCTACCGCAGCACTAAAGCAGCCATAACAATATTTAAGTGAAAAGTGACTATGTCCCAATAAAACTATTTGCGAAACAGGCTGTGGGCTGGACTTGACCCCTGGACTGTAGATCACCCCTTTTCCTGAGTTTTCAAAGAAGGTTTGGTGTGGCTCCTTCTACAAAGGACATGAGACTATGAAATAAAGTATTTAAATCATTTATTTAACCACAAATGAATCTGGGCATGTTCTATGTTCCATGTTTCTACCTACTCTTGAAAAAGGAATGGATGTGGGGGTGGAGCCTTTGGGAACTTAGGTGAGCAGACTGTGGACTGTGTTCATCAATTACCTAGAAGGAGAAAAAGTTGCTTATCAAAAATGTAGACTTCTGCCTTAAATCCTGCCCTACAAAATCTGACTCTGATGCTTATTAAAACTGGGAAATAACTATTTAAAAAAAGATTGTTAGTACAGTTCCATCACCACCCTCAAATCTCTTGTCTCAGATGGGTTGCTGGGGAGCTGTTAAAGACTTTCTGGCAACAGCTCCTATCAGATAGATATTTCTGGGAAGCTGAATTCAGTAAGGTCCTCTATCCCAGAGACCGCCCCCCCAACCCTGGTTCCTTTCAACATCCCACATAATTTTATAGCCCCTCTCGTCTTTAGTCCTTCATGAAGAAAATTAACAATAGGTTGGATCATAATCCTACCTTGGGTACTTATTAAGTACCTTTTATTGAGTGACACTGTTAGTCAAGCATGTAACTGGTACTTTACATAAGTTTATGTTGTTCTGGGGCTGGACATGGAATCCAGAGCTCAGGCATGTTGGCAAGTGCTCTGACACTCAACCACATTCTCAATCGTGTGTGTACATGTTCTTTTTAATCTTCAAAACATCTTGGGAAGAAGATAGAACTTTCCTCACTTTAATGTTAAGGAGACCAAGGCACTAAGAGGTTAAAAAATGCGTTCAAAATCACAAGGCTTTTAAATGTCAGAGATAGGACCTAGGTCTGGATGTGGCTGGCTGGTGGCACTATGTTATGTATAAATGCACAGATGCAACTAAACAACTGCTCTAAGCTGAGGCCAAATCACACACACAGAGATGGTCATGGCAGGGAACTCTCTGTGTATAAGGCTGAGGATGTTCTGGCTCAGCCCAGGAGTGTTCCTGGACCGTGAATTATGATGGCAGGAATCCTCCCCTTTTTCAGCAGCCTTCTTGAACTTTGTCTTGTTGAATTTACTATTTTAAAAAAAAATCTTTTTTAAGTAAAAGTAATTTGATTAAAATATTTCACACATTATAAATTCATTCCAGTAGCTTTACAGTGCAAAGGGTAACAGAGTAGCTGAGACCACAAATGCCTTATCTTCCCACTCTGGAAAAAGACCAACACCCTCTCCAGACCTGCTTCAGATCAGCTAAGGGAGCACCTCCTGGGCTAGTGGAACATCATATACACCATGAAACCAACCCAATCTCACTCACCCAACCACACCCAGGCAGGCCAAGGTCTGGCCCACAGAATTCTGGTGGCTTCTTCTCACCTGTTGTCCTTCTGCCTTTTAATATCATCCAGCTGACTTTGTAGGAGCCAGTTTTTCTCTCTTAACTGCTGGGATTCCAGGCGCAGGTTTTCCATTGCAGACAACTGCTCCTAAGAACATACCAAAATCATGCTCTTCAGAAAACACATGACAATATTATTTTGCACCCCAAGTCCATGACTGCGGCGGGCATTCCTCTTTTAAGCTCCTCCTATGTACAGAATAGGGCAAGGGGTTTTGCTGAATAAAACAGAGATTGTGACAAGTTCTTGGAGGCCTAGAACTATGATTCATGACCATATCCATAGTGCTTTGAACAGTTTCTTATCAATATCACATAAGTCATTTGTTTATGTGGGTGGAATTTTCATAATTCCTTTAGGAGGAAAAAAATGACAAAAGTCTCTACTTTGATGCCATAGTCGATCCCTCAAAATACTTAATCAGATCCTAATTTAAAAATCACGAATTTAACCATCCAGAAGAAATAAACACTTGTCTGCAAGGAATATTCTTTTAAATTTAATTCTACTCTGATCTCTTTTAACCTGACCCAGTTTCTTCTACGTTTCAAGATCATGCCAACCCTGGGTGACAGCCCCATTCCTGAGATAGCATGAAGTGCCCTGAATTCAAAGGGAAGGAATGATCCTCTCTCCTTGACAAACAAAATCCAAGAGTGATACTGTCTTTACTTACATTATGTCACTTGGTTAACAAGACCTAATTGAGTTCCTAAACAAACTCTCACTGCAGAGCAATGAACAGGCTAAATGCTAATTTCTGTGGGTATCCACATCCCTCCTCACATCTATCTATATACTCTTCACATGCCTCCACCCCAAATCATAGAAATGCCCTGCCACAACACACAGAAGAAATTAGTTTAAATTTATCACAGACGGAAATAAATCTCCTTCATATATAAGGAATGCCCACTAATCAATAAGAAAAAGTCCAATAACATAAAAATGGTGAAGGATATAGTTCACCATGAAAGAAAAACAAAAGATGTTGATGCTACTTTAAATAAGAAAAATTAAAACGACACTGAGATAACATGCTTATAAGATGGCAAAGACCTCAAAGTTGCATAGTACTATGAGGTGAAGTTTAAGGATACAGGCTGTCTCCTAATGACAGTGTAGTTGGTACAAATTGTATGATATGATACAACTGTGTGAAGGCCACATAGGGCAGGAAAAGGATGCTTACGGACTTAAATCAAGTGTACACACTGAAAAGCTCTAACAAATAAGAAAAAATAAGAAACCGGCTACCCCGGGACAGCAAACTAGGTAGCTAGGAACCAGAGGTAGGAGAAAGACTTTTCTCGGTTCACCTTCAGTTCTGTGCCCTTTGAATATCTATCCTTAGCAGCCTTGAGAATCCTGCTTATTTTTAAAAATTAAATTTACTAGAGGGGGAAAAGGACCCAGGTACCTTCATTCTGAGGATTTCAGCATTTTTGACTTCTCTGTCTTCATTCAGCTTTGTTACAAGATGTTGCAAAGATGTCTTAGAGGCTCTTCCATCTTCTATCTCTTGTTCTTGTGTTTCCAGGAGTTTTGCCAAGTGTGTTTGAAAATGAGGTGGTGGTGTTTTAGGACTCTAAAATAAAATCACATCTCATCCAAATACCCGATTAAGTGATGCTATACAGATTTCATAAATCTATATAGGTAACACACAGAATATGCATTTAAATGTATATGCCAAGAAGCTAGCACACAGTGCATGCTGAGACATAAGTTGGTTTAACTTATTATTCAAATTCATGTCCAAGTAAAACACACCAAAGACTGGTACTTTTATCAAGGAGAAAGCAGACAGAGGGCATTAGTGAAAAGACAAAGCTATCTCATTCCTTGGCACAAACCCAAAGGACTTAAAGTCAGCATACTCCTGTGAATTAGCCACATCAATGTTTATAGCAAGCTCATTTTACAATAGCTAAGCTATGGAACCAACCTAGGTGTCCTTCAACAGATGAATGAATAAAGAAAATGTGGTCTATTATAAACAATGGAATATTACTCAGCCATAAAGAAGAATGAAATTATGGCATTTGCCAGTAAACAGATGGAACTGGAGACTATAATTCTAAATGAAATAAGCCAATCCCCAAAACCAAAGGCTGAATGTTCTCCCTGATATGTGGATGCTAACATACAACAAGCGGAGGCAGGAAGAATAGAAGTTCATTGGATTAAACAATGGGAATGAAGAAAAGGAAGGTGGTGGGAAAAGGAAAGAGAGTAGAATGAATTAGAAATAACTTTCCTATGTTCATATATGACTATACGACCAGTGAAACTTCACATCACGTTCAACCAAAAGAATGAGATCCTAATTAGAATAAGTTATATACCATGTATGTATAATATGTCAAAATACACTCTACTGTTATATATACCTAAGATTAAAAAAAAAAAAGACAAAGCTATGGTTCTGGTAATTTCTACATTTTTATCATTCACAAAACAAACTATTCAGTCCTCCTGCAATGCATGCTTTTCTTGGGAAGTACCTGGGGATGCTCGGCAGCAAAATCCATTACGTGTTCTAGTTGCCTCATTTTGAAGTTATATTCATTCTTCTTCTGTTCTACTTCCTCTTTCTTTTGGATTAGCTGGGAAAATTGAACAGAAGAAAGGTTACAAGTTAGAAAATGATATGAAACACAGGGTCTAATTAGAAAAGACAAGCTTCCGCATCACCAATCATCAGGGAGATACAAATCAAAATCACAATAAGGTATCACCTCATACCTATTAGAATGGCTTCACACACACACACACACACACACACACACACACACACACACACACACAGGAAAATGGTATAGAGGTTTCCCCTGAAAAACTTAAACTAGAACTACCACCTGGCTGGCAATCTCACTTCTGGGTATGTAACCAAAGGAACAGAAACAATATGCCGAAGAGAACTTTGCTCTCCCATGTTCACTGCAGCCTTATTCACAATAGTCAAGTTATGGAGTAGATCTAAATGTCCACCAACAGATGAGTGGGTAAGAAAATGTGGTGTTCATAACCAAATGCTGTTCAGCCTTAAAAAGAAGCAGATTCAGTCATCTGCAATAACGGCATGGATAAAACTGGAAGGTGCTGTGCTAACTGAAATAAGCCAGAGGCAGAAAGCCAAAACACACATGATCTCACTTAAGTGTGGAATCTAAAAAAGCCAAACTCATAGAAGTAGAGAATAGTGGTTACCAGAGGCTGGGAGCAGAGGAAGTTGAATTGGTCATGTTGGTTAAGGGGTACAAAGTTTCAGGTGTACAGGAAAAATAAGTTTTTGAGATCTACTGCAATGTAATGTGAATATAATAAAAAAAAAAAAAGTCAATTAATTTGACTAAATAATCCCATAATGTGTGTTTGTATAAGATCACATTGTACCACATAAATATATATCTACCAATTTAAAAAAGGCATTTCTTGCTGGGTGTGATGGCATGCCTATAATCTCAGTGACTCAGGAGGCTGAGGTAGGGGGATCCCAAGTTCGAGGCCAGCCTTAGTACTTTAGCAAGGCCCTAAGCAACTGGGTGAGACCTTGTCTCAAGATAAAATATAAAAAGGATTGGCAATGTAACTCTGGGGTAAAGAACTCCTAGGTTCAACCCCAGTTAAAAAAAAAAAAAAAACAAAGACATTTTAGTCAGGTGCAGTATCGCATGCCTATAATCCCACCAACTAGGGAAGCTCAGGCAGGGGGCAAGTTTGAGTCAGCCTGGGCAACTTAATGAGTCTCAAAAAATAAAAGAGTATCCTTGTGTTCAATCCATAATACTATGGAAATAAAATATAATAATAAAAATGTTTCTTAGAGAGTGAAGGAGGTGGCATCACTATACCAGACCTTAAACTATATTACAGAGCTATAGTAACAAAAATGGCAGGTATTGGCACCAAAATAGACTTGTAGACCAATGGTACAGAATAGAGGATGCAAAGACAAACCCACATAAATACAGTAAACCCAATAATCTCCTTTGCTCCCATAATTTGCCCTGATTTTTACTTTCTAAATTTATAATAAAAGGTTCATTTTAGAAAAATACAAAATGTAAAACAACAATAGTGGCCAAACAATGATGGTCAGCTGTACCCTCATCACAGTGGTTAGAAGTTGTGGCCATGTGCCAAGGACCCAGAGCAGGGAAGGATGTGGCCATGCAAGTGTCAATTCAAGTGAGCAAACCCAAATCCACAATCCACAGTGCAAATGCCAGATCACCTACACTCTCCTCGGTCTTCACCTTTTGTGTGCGGAGAAACCAGCCAAGGCAGGAATGTCTGACAACCTCCACTGTGGATTCTGCCTGACACCATCTTGAGTGACACCACTGTGCAGCTTACCTCGTGCTGAAGTTCCTGGATCAGGGAGTCCTTCTTGGTCAGTTCTTCCTGGGCTGACTGCAGCAGCTCTGAGTGTTTTTTCGAAGCCTCTGTAAGCATGTTCAGCTGCTCAGTGGCATGAGCCAGATCTTCACAGAGCATATCCCTCTGTTAGGGGACACAATCCCCATAAAGAAAAGAACTTGACTTTGATATTCCAATAAAGGTTCACAAGTCACTACTAATTTTTTAAAGGTTGATTTTTTTATGTAAAAAAAAAAAAAAAAGTCTTTTTTTTTCTTATGTGCTAGTGCTAATCCATTCCAAGAAAAACCAATAATTGATATTTAGGTGAACAGGCCTATACAGAAAAGTATTACACAGTAAATGCATAGCGATATCTCAGTGGGGGTTGAACTGCACTCCCCCCCAACCCTTAGGATCTTAAAGCTGATCTCTTTCCTGGGGAGGACTTGAGGTATAGAGCTTACCTGATGTCTCACTAATTGATTCTAGACTTTTATATACTAACAGGTAAATAGCTATCACAATACCCTACCACCAGGTCAGTTGGGTAGGGGCTGGGCAGTTCACCATTTCACAGGTCATCAATTTCAGAATGTAAGGTGATGGAAAGTAAGAGAAAATTAGAAGTCCTATAGGTTGCACACATAATTCTTTATGTATGCAGTACATGTAATCACTATCAAACTGTGAAGAATCTGCTTATACTTCCTTTCCAAATCTATGCATGTATGTATTCATCTGCTTTTTAAAAACAACAACAACAAAAAAAAAAACCTTGATATATTACAAACATTTTTCCATCTACTCACTCTTTTCTTGAATAATTTTCTTTGGGTGGGCTCCTTTTCATACAGATACATCACAGTTTAACCCATCACTGAATATTTTGGTTAACTTAAATTTTTCAGTATTAAATATACTTTTTTTTCTCATATCTAGATTTACTTCTTTAGGGTAATTTTCTAGAAGTACAAACTCAAAAGTATACACAAAAAACTTAAGGTACATATTACCAGATTATCTCTCTAAAGACTGGACCGCAATACCTCCAAATGTCTACGAAATCATCCCCTTCTGCACATCTTCCTTGAGGCTTACACTTTACAACATATTTTAATTTGCACTTCTTCGATCCAAAGAGGTTTGTGTGCCGCTATATTCCTTTTTGTGGGGGATGCCCATGTACCTTTTTGCATCCACTTCCCTCCAACCAGGGATGTTCTGTCCCTTCTTGTGACTTGTAAGAGCTCACCTATGTATTCAGCTGATGACCCGATGTCATCAGTTGTAGCTTCCCCCAATCTATCCTTCAGTCTTATTTTTGTCTTTAACATATAATATTCCCTTTTTGGTTTCTAACCATAGTACCAAGATTTTTTTCAAAGGGCCACTTTTAAAAACGATCTTCGGGATTCATCATGTCTTTGTATTTTCTAACACTTGTAATACCATTTGTTTAATCTAAGAACTTGCATTGGTAAGAATCTAATCTTATCTTTTCAAGTGGGTCTTTTCCTAATATTTATTGACAACCCATGTTCTCTTCACTGTTGTGAAATATCCCTTTTATCATTACACTAAATTCCTTCCCCTTCATGGTGGTCTATCTGTGCATGTTCCAAATTGTTGCAAAGATCTGACATCAGTCCAGCACTGAGATATTATTATGTCTAGTTCACAAATCTCTCTGCATTATTATTTTTCTACATTTTGTTGAGAAATTCTGTGTATTTATTTAAAGGAATTTTAAAATCCTCTTGTCAAATTTTTAAAAATTGAGATTTGAACTAGAATACATAAATTTCTATTTTTATAAAGCAATAATGTACCTTCCTCTGCAAGTCTCCTACAGGTTTATCCAAGTCTCAGCAAGTTTTGTCCTTGATACTTGCTAAACCTTCTCCCTAAGATTTTGATATACTATGTTTTTGTGAATTGCTGATGTACAGTAAAGCTATTTTTACAAACACTTAGCCAGGCACAGTGGAGCATGTTTGTAATCCTAGTAACTCAAGAGGCTGAGGTAGGACTGCCAAGTTCAAGGACAGCCTGGGCAAAGTCTTGTACAAATATTACCTCTTTTGGAAAACTCTTTGGAATTTCCCCAGGCAGAATTACTTCCCTTCCTCCCTTTTCTGTGCTTCAAGTAACTTATTACATAGTAATACACTTAAGCTACAATGCCTATGTAACAATGTTTTAATCATTCTTCCATTCCCAAATGCCAGACCAAATATAGGTTGTATAATACGTAGATCCAATAAGTATTTGTTGAAGTTATTTAATTGGTTAGCACATTTTCCCAAGAAAACCTTATTTCTTTTTTTTCCCCAAAGAGTTACATTTTTTTAAAATTAAATTATTTATTTATTCTAATTTGTTATACACAATGGCAGAATGCAATTCATTTCATATTACACATATAGAGCACAATTTTTTCAAGTCACTGATTGTACACACAAAGTATTTTCACACCATTCCTGTCTTCATAGATGTACTTAGGGTAATGATGTCTAACTCATTCCACCATCATTCCTACCCCCTTTCCCCCTCCCTCCCCTTTGCTCTATCTAAAGTTCCTTCATTTCCTCCATGCCCCCTACCCCATAGCCATTATGAGAAAACCTTATTTCTAAAGCAAATGAAGAACAATATACATGGCAGATTACCATCTATATGAAAGTATTTAGGATTAATCTAAAATATCTCTGGAAGAATACATAAGAAACTGGTAACACTGGGTGGGTGCTTTACCACTGAGCTTCATTCTCAGTCCTATTTATTTATTTGTTTGTTTATTTTTAAATTCTGAGACAGGGTCTTGCTAAATTGCTGAGTCTGGCTTTAAACTCATAATATTTCTGCCTCAGCCTATTGAATCACTAGGATTACAGGTGTAAGCCACCATGCCTGGTTAGTACCACTTAATTTTTAAAAAGAACAACAACAAAACTAAAACCTACTTTAGCTAAAATGTAAGAGGCCACCCTGAAATCAAACTGTTAGCCAGTCTTTCCTTTGCTCCCATTCTCCCACTGTGTCCAAGTAAATGCCGACTCCACTCTGCATTCCTTACATGAGGAAGCCAGTTTAGGAACTTACCAGGGTAACATCACAAATGAATGAAAACAGATCTACTACCCAAAACAACAATTTTAGTGCTATCTCTGAATCGTCCAACCTCCCATGAGAAAAGTGGCTCTGATTTTAATCATTAAAAAAACCTTCTATTTTTTTTTTTTTTATTAAAAAACCTCCATGCAAAAACATACATATCAACAAGTAAGAAGACAAATAAAGTGCTGTGTTAACATCTACCTCAATGTCCTCAGAGAGTATTCTCAGCCTAAGGGTTTCTTTCAGATCCTGAATATCCACTTCCTGTCTCTTGATCAATGCTTTGCTCTCTTCTTTGTCAACCAAAGCAGAGTTGTATTTGCACTGCAGAAAAGAAAATCATGATACAAAATCTGTCTGCTTTATTAGCTGTTTATTTGTAGATTAAAATAATTTAAGAGCTGTGTGTTGATGACCAGATTAACAAGTTAGTTCAACAATACTTGTTAGTAAAGGAATGGAAGAATTGATGCATGTGGCAAAGAGAAGTAGGAAAGTCCCATAGATCAGTGAAAACACATCTGGTTTGGTCATCTTCATCAGGAGACTACCTTTGGAAAAACACATGGAGTGTGGCAAGCTCCTCTTGGAACCCAAAGGGGGACAAAACCTTCACCTTGACCCAAGCTGAGGAGGAAGCATCATCATTCAATTTAGATACATGAAGAAGAAAGAAGTAGTTACTTTAAGTCTAATACTGGGGAAACAAACCAATTTTCTCCATGATTAATGTCTCTGAACTTCATTAAAATGTGTTATTTTTTCCTGGAAGCAACTAAGGAGCACCACCTCTTAGCTTTCACTGTCTCAGATAACACCCAGTTTGTTCTTATCTGGTTTGTATCAGCAATTCCCAAGTGGTGCACGGAGAACATTGTTCCAGGACAGTGAAGTGTGGGAAATGCTACTGATTATGCTGCCTCCCAAAGATATGCATGCTGCACAATAAAGGCTTTGCAAGCAAGCAAACACAGTAATTCACTGAACTTCAATTTGTATTTCCAAAATTTTTTTTTAAGAGAGAGAGAGAGAGGGAGGGAGGGAGAGAGAGAGAGAGAGAGAGAGAGAATTTTAATATCCCGGGCCACACGCATGCCAGGCGAGCGCGCTACCACTTGAGCCACATCCCAGCCCTGTATTTCCAAATTTACTTGATCCCAGAATCTTCAACGTTTGTTAACCCTTTGAGGAGTCTATGAAGTGTGTCTCATGCACAAATTTACTATCTTTTTTGGTGACTGAACTTACGTTTATGTCCTTCAGTTCTTGTTTCAGGGTGTCTATAGTTTCTGTTTTCTCACAGATTGATGTTCTTAGTTCCTGGATCTGGTTCATGAGTTCAGCTACAACTTCCTGATGAGGATAGAAACAGTATCTTCATACCCATTGATGTTAAGGACATCATTTTAAAGTGATAAACCATTTATCGTTCCTAATGGCAACATAAGAAGTCAATTTTATTTTAGCAAAATATCATATCACACTCCATTATTAATATCAATTTATATTTACTGGCTTTATTCTACTTTAATTAATTGTTTAGGTTTTATAAATGAATAAGAGTTAGAGAAATAAGGATTTTTCTAGGTCTATGTTATTAAGGCCTGTGTTTTTGTTTTTTGAGATGGGGATCTTTCTTTGTTGCCTAGGCTAGCCTCAAGCTCAGGAGCCTATTGCCTCAACTTCCCAAGCAGCTGGAATTTCAGGGGTATATCACTGTATTCAATTTATACCTGATTTTTATACTTGGAGAAACATGTTATTTTTATTATTCCAGATAAAGTCAGCATGAAGGGATTTGAGAATTTGTATCATGGAACTTACAATTAATGAGAAAGGGGCACAATTATATCAGCAACCTACTTAAAAGGGCAGAATGTGTTTTACAAACACACTCTCTATTCAAAGCAACAGAACGGTTTCCGCTTGAAATTACTTGATAATTAACTTAATTGAAAGAAGCATTCTGTAAGCACCCTTGTCAACCAAAGCACAGATGTATTTGCACTGGAGTGTGCAAATACGAACATGGAAATGGAAGCTTCCACCTTCCCTGAAGGTGGAATGTCAAGTCAGCATTTATAAACTCCACCTACCTTGTCAGACTCTCTAGACTTTTCCAGAGAATCGATCACTTTTTCAGTAACAAGCAAACTCTCTTCTAATTTCTGTACTTTTGCCATCTACAGAGAAAAACAAACACTTAAAAAAAGAATTAAATCATGACCACACATACATTATACATTAAAATACTAACCAACCAACCAAGCTGATTCCTGCTTTTCAACTATAGAGTCTATAAATAAGAGTAATACTTCAAAATGATCAACTGTGTTGAAAGGCAATGATACTGTGGGTTCTCCACCAGGAGGACAAATAAGGACCTATGATGACAGCCATTTAGGAGTTAGAAAAGTAAGAGCTAAAAAAATTAACTGATTTCCAACACTTAAAGCTGAAATAGTTTTTATAATAAACTTGTTTACATATCAGGTTCAAACTTCAAATTCTAGAGTCAGAATAACAGGAAATTTACCTGCTCTTCACACTTGGCCATCTCTTTCTGTTTCTCCTGACGTACAGCCTCAAGAACTTTTAAGATTTCTCTGGAAGAGAAGAATTACATTTTAACCTATTCCATTCAATGTAAACAGGAACTGGGTCTGTTAGTTTGGAAGAGATTAAATGCAATACAATTGAAGTTTATTAAACACACCTTGGCTTTGTCAGTATATTCCAGTAGAAGTCAGAAAGTTGAACCATTTCAATGGCTAGTTAACAAGAGTCCAATTTTGTTTCATGATTATTTTCTTCAGAGTGTTTTGTACTCCTCAACATAACATGCATATTTGTTAATTACTTGTCTCTTCTATGTTAAAGTTCAGTAGGACAGGGATGTTTTGTTTCACTGTTTTACTCTATACATTGTGGCATTTACCAGAATAGAGCCTGGCTTAATGAATATCACTAAATGTTTGCATGAGTGAGAATATGTTAACAGCCTATCTCCTATCTAGATATAAGCTCTACATTTACCACTGTATACCAAAGCATGGAGATTCTATATCATAATAAGAACTCTATAAGTATTGATTGAAGAAACAACTCTTCCTTAAAGTGATCATGAGACTAAGCCCAAGAGTCTGACTAAAGGCTATCAAGGAAAAGAACTTGGAGAGAGAGAGAAAGAGAGAGAGAAGACAGAACAGCATTCCTGGTGAGGGACCAGAAAGAAAAAAGAACACCTAGAAAAAGTACAGTAGAAACAGAAATAAAAATCAGCCCCCACCTCCCAATAATAAATGGAACAGCTAGAAGTTATATATACTGTGACTTACAAAAGACTCTGAGTTCTGATTACTACCTGTCTCAATTCATTTAAAAGCACCATAGCTAGTTATTGCTAAGTTTCTTTATATAGCCAATTAACAAAAGCATCTGATATTCATTTCAGCAAACTTTAAAAGAAAAAGCTTTTTGTCTTTTTCTTTTTTTGTGGTACTGGCGATGGAACTCAGGGCCTCACACAGGCTATACAAAAGTGCTCCACCACTGAGCCACATCCCCAGCTGAAAATAACTCTTTGCAGGGTATTAGCAAGAAAACAAAAACAAACAAGACAAAGAATGTGATAGTGACAGCACTCACTTAGAACTGTTTTCTTTATCCTCTTCAAACTGTAATGATAATTTGTTGTTGCGTTCTTTTTCTGCCTCAAAAAGCTCCATCAAGTTCTAAAAGACAAACTTAACATTAGATTTGAAGACACTGCTATAAGCAATGTGTAGCCAACAAATATGTGGCATACCTTCCACGTGGCAGGCACTGAGGCTGGCTAGGGAAATAGCGGGAGGGAGTCAGGACTGTCCTTGCCTTTCACACAACAGAACAGCCACAGTCCTGGGTCACACTCACCCATTACCAATACCCTTTGTCACTTACATTGAGATCAGATTTCAGAGTCTCATTTTCTTTTTTGCAGTTTTGGAGATTTTTTGAAAGTTGGTCAATTTCAAATCTCATTACTTCCTGTAAGTTGTCATAGGAATCTTGTAGGCAAGCTTGGCTCTCAAGAAGCTTTTCATGTTCTAATCTTTACCAGGAAAACATTTTGCAATGGTAAACATAAGCATTCAATATTTTTATGAGTCAGATTATCTGCACTTAAATTTATTCTATCAACAAACCACTGCCAACTTACATAAACCTAATGAACACACACACACACACACATAAATATGTATGTGTTTGTGGTGTAAACAGTATATATGAAGTAAGCAAAATAATTCAAGAAACAACACTACTGCTGTGCTGACTCATTCAGAGGCCACACAGCACCCGAGTGCCACATTAGAGAATAAGCAGTCCAATAAGTGAATTATTCAATGTTAGACCAGAAACAATGAGAAAGAATAAATTGTGTCCAGTATATTTAAAAAGCCAGGACATATTTAATACTTTTAAGGTAAATTTAAAAACCTAAATATTATGTATTCTTTACATTTTTGATGTAGGCCCACTCTGATAAGTAAATATAAGGATAATAAGATCCAATGAGATTAGTAGAGTGACTTAAGAAAAAAAATCACACAAAACTAGTTTGTAATAAAGCCAACATTAGACTCAGTGATTCAGAGGTTAAAACAAATGCCAGGTGTAAGAAAAGGTGTGCAGCTATAATAAATTACTAAAAATTACTACTTTGTTGAAGCAGTTTGAATTGGGTTTATACCACCTGCACGTCACATCATCCTGAGTTACAACCCATCAGGCACCTTGAAACCATCACACAACAACTCTACCTGACGTGGCCCAGCTGAAGCTGTACATGCACGTGTCTTTCAGAAAGCTCGTTGAATTCTTTTTCCTGACTCTTTTTGAATGAACTATACTCCAGTTTTACTGAAGAAAGCTCCTTGTCAGCAGAATGAAGAACTACTCGCAGGTCACGCACCTCACTTTTTAAAACTAAAAAACAAAACAAGTCCTCAACAGGTTTCATCACAAATATTTTTTATAAAGTACACGAATAAATTTGATGATACCATTAAGGACAGATATTGAACCAAGTGGTGGTACCCAAGAGACCTGAGATTTCTGTTTCATCTTCTCCCTACTGCATAGCTCTTCCTACATTTCTAGTTAAAGAAGAAGAGTTAACATCTCTCCCTCACTTACAGTTCACTTGACTTTTCTAGATTTCTCCTGTAAAATGTGCATCAAAACTCTTAAGAAAGAAACATCATGAGGTCTAACAAATTTCAAGTGACTTTATGTTAGTTATTGAAAATCTTTTGGTGATATACCAGAACTTTTCAATATGGGCTAAACACCTCTGGTCTTCCAGGGAATCTCCAACTGTAATATCAATTAGGTAACTTTTTAAATTAAAAAACAACAGAATAGCTATTTTTGTTGCTGCTGTGTTAGCTTTACTGTAAACTACTGTATAAACTCTGATAAAGGGAGAAATAAGAAATGAGTGAAAAAACTGGGAATTCAAATGATGCTCCCAAAATTAAAAAAATAATGCTTTGTCAATATTAAAACACTCATATTATAAATTGAAGATACTTCATTTTCAAAGCAGTTTAATTAAGATGCTAAGCAAACATCTTTGTCATTTGTTTATCAAAAGTAATAAAAGTTTCTTTTTATAATATATTATCGTCACCACTGTCATGTAAACTCAAGTATGGTTGTCTAACAATAAAACAATCCAACCCCAAAACACAGGACGACATTTATTTAAATGAGTAAAAAGACACTGAGGTTACAGTATTCCTTCGGGTCACAAAACTCCTAACTGTTCAAACTTACAATCATTCTCAGTCTGAGTCTCTTGAAGCAGCTTTTCAAGGACATTTAACTGTGAGAGACGCTCTTCTTGCTGTTTGGTCCAATCAGTTCTTTCTGAAGAGAAAAGCTTTGGGAAAGAGATATGTTTACTGGAAAAGGAATACTGGTGGGGTAAGACAGTTTAAATCATCAGTTTGTTTCTGTTTTGTTTTTTTTTAAATCCCCCCTAGTATTTGGGATTGAACCCCATCTCGTGCATGCTAGGCAAGCACTCTGCCACTCAGATATGTCCCCAGACTTTATTTTTATTTTGTATTATTTTGATACTAGGGATCAAACCTAGGGACACTTTACCATATGCTATATCCCCAGCCCTTCTGATTTTTATTTTGAGATTTGCTCAGGCTGGCCTTGAACTTGCAATCCTCTTGCCTCAGCCTCCTAAGTAGTTGGGATTATAGGAATATACAAAGTAGTAGGGGTGTATTATTACTGAGATACATCTCAGAACATTAATTTTCATATTGAGACAAGGTCTCACTAAATTGCAGAGCCTGGCCTCAAACTCCTGCCCCAGACTCCCAAGTCACTGGAAGTACAGGAGTGTGCCACCATGCCCAGCAAAGGCTGTTTTTTTTTTTTAGGGGGGTGTTGGTACTGGGGATTGAACTCAAGGATGCTTTATTACCAAGCCACATCCCCAGCCCTTTTTTATATTTTATTAGAGCAGGGTCCTGCTGAGTTACTTAGGGCCTCACTAAGTTGCTGAGGCTGAGTTTGAATTTACTATCCTCCTGCCTCAGCCTCCTGAGTCGCTGGGATTATAGGCATGCACCACTGTACCCTACTAAGGCTGTTTTTCAAGTCTAATTTTTTAAGGTCTCTGATAAGAAAAAATCTGGCTATTCCAGGAATCACAGTGAAGAGAAACAGAGTGTAAGAATGTGGATGGGCCATCTTGTTTTCTTCTCAACAAACAGAATGGAACTGACAATTCAGACAATGTCAACATCTGCCTTAAGACCAGAGTAGTCTTCAAAGTTAAAGTTGATCGAGGATCTGTGAGGGCATTTTTGTCCCATAATGCTCTACTTTGAGTGCTTGTTTCACACACTGACTGAGGCCAAGCTCCCGGGCTCACCTCCTGCATTTGTGCCGAATGATGCTCCAGTTTGTCAATATGCTGCTGAAGCTTCAGGTTTTTATGCTCTTCCTCATCTAGCTTGACTTGAAGAGCATTCATTTGTTCCTGCAATACACAAATTTCAGTCCATTAAAACTCTTTTTAATGGAATTCACATACCATCACCATTTCTTTTTAATTAAAGAGAAAAGAAATCAAAAGTGAACAAGCTTAAAACTCCATAGGAATAAAGATAGCAAAGGTCTGTTTGAAGCCAGAAAACTTCAAAAGCCTATCCTGACAATTTCTGATGTTTCAGAATTACTCTTGTGTGGTCCATCAAAGTAGATAATTTAAACCCAAAGAACACAAGGGATTAGAATTAAAACCTAGAGGCATCTTGAGATTGCTAAAAGCTTCCTCAGAGATGCATGGGACACTTCAGTAGGAAGACCTCAATGGCTTGGAAGGATCAAATTACTGGGATTCAAGGTGATCTGGTCCACTCCAGGTTTTACTGAACAGAATTTTTTTTTTTTTTTTTTTAATTTTCAAACCAGAATTCTGAAATAATCAAATTTCACAAGTTATTACAAATACATGAAAAGCTGTCTAAAATTTGATTTATACTAAAATTCTGTGTCAAATATCTGAACTTTCTTTAGCAGATAAACCAGTTTTGAAACTTGAAGCTAGCAATTATGGTCATTTTACACAAGGGAATCAAAGTCCATGGAGAATAGAGAATGATTTTCTGAAGACTGCAAAATGAATTAAAAGAACATGAGTAGACTGGTTTCTAAGCTAGTGCCCTTTATACACTCACACTTAACACTACAGATTTCAGGGAGTTAAAATGATAGACAAAGAAAATTATTTAACTGAATGTCTAATTACTTACCTTTTTAAAACCTAGAACATTACCTGCACTTTTTTAAGCTCTTCAGAAATAGCCTCAAAAGCTTGTTCATTCATCTCAGGTGGAACTGGTTCATTTAATATATCATTATCTAATATGCTAGAATTACACACAAAGCTCCCCATTTCAGGGCTTAATTTTGGTACTAATCGAGAACGAAGTTGATAAGCCTTGGTTGGTGTAGTTATAATCTGAAAAAAAAATGATTATGGAAAACAATATTAGCACACATGAAAAAAATAGCATATTTAGTAATTTTATGAAGAGAGAAGACAAAAATTAAAGCCTGTAATTCCAGCTACTCAGAGGTTAATGCAGGAAGTTCACAGGTTCAAGGCCAGGCTGGATAACTTAGTGAGACCCTGTCTCAAGATGAAAAAATAAGAAGGGCTAGAAATACAGCTGAGTGATCGAGTGTACCTAGCTTCAATCTCTAGTATTAAGAAAAAAAAAATGAAATCTATTCAAAAGAAAGGAAAAAGTGTCCCTGAAGAAACAGAAGACATGACTAAATAGAAATAATTTTTTAAAAATATTTTTTAGTTGTCAATGGATCTTTTATTTTATTTATTTATATGCGATGCTAAGGATGGAACCTAGGGCCTCACACATGTCAGGCAAGTGCTCTACCACTGAGCCACAACCCCAGCCCTAAATAGAAATAATTCTATCAATTCAATACAGTTCCAAGCAAAATTCTAATAAGGTTTTAAAAAATGAAACTTGGTAAATTGATATCCAACTTTGTATAAAGAATAAATGTACAAGACACACTTCCCATCCAATATAAAGTCACATTATAAACAGGGTATTAAAACAGTAATTTAGCATGTTATAGTCAAAAAATTGGAAAAACATACAAAGTCCACAAACAGAAGATTTATGTGTAGAGATTTCAAATTAGTGAGAAAAACATGGATTTTTTAAAAAGTTAAATCTTTCTACTACCATTCTCAAAAATAAAATAAAAGGTATACAAAGATCTCAATGTAAAAACAAAGATAAAAGGTCAATAAGCCTGGCTACATCAAAAATGAAAAACTACCATGTAACAAAAATACCACATGCAAAGATGAAAGACAACACCATGGCCAAATATGTTGACAATGTATGTAAGAAACAAAAGATTAATATATAAAAATGCCAACAAATTCCAAGAAAAAGATAAACTACCAATAGAAATGGGCTTTTTTTCCCTACAGAGAAGGATAATACAAATAAATGGACATGAACATATGAAAAGACATTCATCCTCACTAGAAGTAAAGTGGGAACTAAAACCTTAAAAAGATCCTGATTTTCATGCATGAGATTGTAGTAAGAATTAAAGAGCCTGATGATGTCCATTAGTGGGATGGTGTTCTTCTACCAGGAGGCAATTGGTGCTACCCCAGAGGCAGCTCCAGCAGGCCTGGCTCATTTCTAACACAACCATTTCTCCAGTCCCAGAGAATGTGTGCCTTTGGAAACCACCTAGAGTCATGAGTCATCCAAAACGTGGAAGTGTAGGTTTAAAGTGAGGTAGCACTCTGGGTACCAGTTAATATAGAAAGATCCAAGGCATATGTTGGACTTACTTAACTAAAGCATGTTGTAGAATAACATATGCAAATTGACATCAATTTTTTTTAAATAGCAAAATAAACAAACTATAAAACTCTACATATTTTCTCAGTCCATGCATATTTGTTGTACAAACACCAAGAAAAAGGATTAAATTAACTCCAGGAGTATGGGATGAAGGACCAGATTGGAACTAGACTGGCAATGGTGCTCCAAAAGAACTTTCAACATTAACTTGTACTTTTAAGCCATGAGAATGTATTCATAAAGTTACTGATATGATTTAAAATAAACAACAACCAAAGACCTGAATTGCTACGCCACTCTTCCCTCAACAATTCTACTGTGCTAAGGAGCCACCAAGGATTTTAAAACAATTGACAATATTCTTTAATATTTTATTTCCTGCAAAGAATTCAAAGGTCATTTTTAAAAAATTTTTTTGTTTTAGTTGTAGATGAACACAATCTCTTTATTTATTTTTATGTGGTGCTGAGGATCAAACCCAATACCTCACACATGCGAGGCAAGTGCTGTACCATTAAGCCACAACCCCAGCCCCCCAAAGGTCATTTTTTTTTTTTAAGCAAAGATAAAATTCTAACTTTGTAAAGAAAATAGGATTTTGTACGTTAAATGAATCATGATATATCCATATAATGGATTCTTTTGCAGCTACCCAAACAAACCAAAAGCTATAAAAAAGCAAAAAACCAAAAATGACAAAGTTCTTTTTCCCCTTCTGACCTGGGACAAACTGTAAAATATGTTAAGCTAACATTCGCATCAACAGCATCACTGTCTCAAACTTTTACTTTCTTTATATAGTCCTCCCCCACAAATTCCTTACTGTCAGATGCTTGCACATTTTTTCTTTTATGAGGAGAAATTATTAGAGGACCCCTCCCCCCATTATTTCTAAGTATTAAGTGTGATAATTATATGAGTACTTTATGAACATATTCTCCTAGTTTAGTGCTCTTCGCACACATTACATTACAGCAATGGCTGCCATTTACTGAGATCTAGAGGACTAGGCTCTTTATCAATAATGTTACTACTCTAAAAACCCTTCATCCTCAGTTCAGAGGAAAGAAAGGTGGGGCTAAGAAGTTAGAAAACCCTGCCTAAGGTTAATGGCTGGTGAGAATTTGATTCCAAATGTTGTATTCTTTGCTCCCTGGCCCTACTGCTGGAGGTATACATAAGAACACCAGTCAGTGTGACCCTGAGGTTAACCTCTGTGAAGGATGCCACCTATGTTTGGAGATAGACCATGTAGACTCTCTCCATTATGAATACAAAAGAGGGGCTGGGCTTATAGCTTATAGGCAGAGCCTTGCCTTGCGCATATGAGACACTGGGTTCGATCCTCAGCACCACATAAAAATAAATAAAATAAAATAAAGATATTGTGTCCATCTTTAAAAAAATCTTAAAAAAAAAAAAAAAGAATACAAAAGAGATAAGCACTAACTTAACACGGGACCACTGCTTCAGATAACCTACCTTAAGTGTTTCAGCATGAATTTTATTCAGTTGAGAAACTTCTTGCCGCTTGCAGGCTTTTGTTGCGTCCAAAAGGCTTTCAAGATTAAGGTTTGCTTTTTGCAAAGCCTGAAGCTCTGATTCCAATTCTAGCTGCCTTTTCCTAATAGATATTGTAAAACAGTACTTCAGGTAATAAGCAAGTCAAACACTTGTAAAGTACTTTATAGTTTATACATTCATATACCTTTATAGCTATCTCTCTAAATCAGAAATATCCTCTCAGGATCATTACCTTCATTTTCCAGCTGGATAACATACTCAGGGACTCAAAATTGTTCAAAGAACTCAACTACTAAATAATAGAGCTCAAATTCAAGGGCCCAAATAGTCCATGATGATGATGACAACATAAGTGATGTCATTTTAAAAGCAAACTGTTCTTTATAATTTAGGATAAGATTAATCTTAATTTATATCAATGTGAATTGTCTTGTTTTTCTTTTATACAATGAGCATCAAGAATACTAACAAACCCAGACCTTTTAAAAATCTAGATTCAATTAATAACTATAAATTTGGTTACAAAATAAAGAATTTACTCAGCAAGTTCAATTGACAATATATTGCTTAAAACATTTATCATTTAGTTCATTAGATACACCATAAGAAAAAGACAAAAAGCCCTTTTTCTTTGTGTCAAAACAAGTTAGGTGCTAATAATAAGAATTTAATATTTAAAGTAAAATGCCCATTTAAATTGTGAATATTAACATTACCATAAATCAACACTAGAAAAGGCAAGCACACATGTGTAGTCACACTTTACCGAGTTAGTTCTTTGAATTCTTCATATTCTTGCTTTGAATTATTCAGCTCTGTCTGAATTTGCAGGAGTTGTGCTTTTAATTTCTCAGTGTTTGCGAATGAACATGGTTCTTTTGGAGCTTTGGGAGAAAAGCCTTGCTGACCTGATAATAAAGAAACAATCTTGGTCTTTGAAAGACAAACATAACAAAACACATTTGCTGAGTACTCGGCCACATACCAATTTTGAGGCATAAAGAGGATAAATAAGAAATGGGTTGGGAGGTGGGCCCTCAAAGATGAGTCTATATCTCTGCAGGAAATACAGGATGCAACAGTGTCTAAAAGAATTAGGAGGAGACATATTCAAGCAGCAGAGAGGTCCATAGGGTGGAGAAGCACAGCTAAGACAACACCTTTTCCATGAAGAAAAAGAGCTAATGATGACTGACATGCATCATGTTAACACTGGAAAGAGAATCACATGTTGAACTTGCAGGAATTAGTGCTAGCAGCTTGTCTGAACGGTCAATGCCTTATTTAGAAAAGAAAATGAATAGCAAGAGCAGCAAGCTGAAAGAACTTGGTATCATATACCAGGTAGAATATGTTAATTTTCAAAATTTGCTTAGAAAAGTGATTAGAGAGTACACTGAGCTCCAGCATACAAAAATATAAAAGTTGCTTGCAGGGGCTGGGGTTGTGGTAGAGCGGTAGAGCTCTCGCATAGCACATGGGAGACCCCGGGTTCAATCCTCAGCATCACATAAAAAAATAAATAAAATAAAAGTACTGTGTCCAACTACAACTAAAAAATAAATATTTTTAAAAACAGTTGCTTACAGAATGGTAGCTGCTTATAAGGTCCCAGAAATTACCATTAGTATCTATCAAATGTGTAAGTTAAGATTTCACTGAGGCCCAAATCACCAACCAAATATGGAGCCTTGTAGGGAAAATTAGCTGAAACAAAACCAAAAACTTAACTTTACATCTAAGATTTTAAGTCTCTCTACAACTCAAATACTGTGAATCTTCTTCTGTTAAGTTATAATGGAATAGAAGGCAGCTTAGGAAAGGAAAATTTAGAAAACAAGGAGAAAGAGCTGGGGATGTAGCTCAGTGGCAGTGCACACTTATCATTCATGGGGTCCTGTGTTCAATCCCCAGCCCAAAAGAAAGATAAAAAGCAAGGAGATAAACTTCTACATGAATGCAGAATAAAAGATTAGAATTTCCTCAACCTAAAAAAAAGGAAGGTAGAGGCTGAGTGTGATAAAAGACCATGAAAATACCAATTCTAAAGGGGCAAATAAACTTTATTATCAAATTCCAGGACATTAACACCAAGAGCTGCCAAACCTGTAAGTCAGATTTAGTACCAACTAAACCACTTTTCAGAGTACAAGTAAACTCCTGGGAATAATGTGTCACTCATAATACATTCACAATATCAGGACCAAACCACTGTTTGGTGGATCATGAGTGTGACACCCACCTACACTGTATAAACTTTAGCCAGACTGACAAACATTTCAACTATTTGAAATTGTAACTATACAATTTCAAATACTTTAAACTGGAAAATTCTATTGAATAAAAATTAAGTGATATCCAAATAGTTTTTACTTTTATCATTAAAACAAGATAAATACAATGGGTGTTTCCTTGCTATGTCTATTAATCTATGTAAATTACTATGATCTTTGAGAAAAAAATTTAGTAAATTCATTTTTATAACATTAAAGAATAAGTATGTGAATAAAAAAAATTTGCAGGGGCTGCGTTTGTGGCTCAGTGGTAGCGCACTCGTCTGGCATGTGTGAGGCACTGGGTTCGATCCTCAGCACCACATAAAAATAAGTAAATAAATAAAATAAAGTTATAAAACAAATTGGCATATCGGGTCTGAGGCTAAAAATTAAGATCCTAACTGCAAGGCACTACAAATGCTCTTTAAAACAGCTTCTTGAACGAGGCAGAGTGGCACATGCCTGTAATACCAGGCTCAGAAGGTTGAGGCAGGAGGATCTCGAGTTCAAAGCCAGCCTCAGCAAAAGAGAGGTACTAAGCAACTCAGTGAGACCCTGTCTCTAAATAAAATATAGAATAGGGTTGGGGATGTGGCTCAGAGGTTGAGTGCCCCTGAGTTCAATTCCTGATACCCTCGCCCCACCCCACCCCCGCCCCCCAATGGTTAAATCAACACAGCCTCTTAAAGCTGGGAATGGTGGCACACACCTGTAATCTCAGCAACTCAAGAGGCTGAGGCAAGAGGACCCCAAGGTTGAGGACAGCCTCAGCAACTCAGAGAGGTCCTAAGCAACATAGTAAGGCCCTGTCTCAAAATGAAAAATAGTTTAAAAGGACTGGGGATGTTTCTCAGTGATAGGACAAACCAGGGTTCCATCTTCACTACCAAAACAAATAAAAAACAGCCCCTTCTTACAACTATAATTTCTTACATTTGTTGTTTTTCTCTATGCCAGATATTTCAGAGAAAGCTTTCTCTAGTTTTGCAATGGTCTGGGCATCCATTTCTTGGGCTCTTTTCACAGGCTCTAATAATCTCAGTCTTCTATTCTCTTCCCTGAGGGAATGATTTTCCATAGCATATTTTGCAACTCCAGGGTGGTGCTCTATCTGTCACATGGAAGAATCACACATTAAATATTTAAACATTTCCTTACTAAACTAGTCTTTCTAAAAAGCCATTAGAAAACTAAGGAACACTGATGCAATATTGGTTGTACTCTAATGCAACCATTGTGGAAAGCAACTTGGCATTTGTGATCACACTGAGATATGCATCACCTACTCCTCTATTTGTGCTAAGTTTCTTAAAACTCTCACCTGTGCACCTAGGGAGATACAGCCGGGAGTATACAATGTGGCAGACTCTTCCACAAAAGAAAATGGTTAAATCAACACACCAGAAAAAATAAAGAGACTTTCTGTTGACCAAGATACATTAACTGAAAGAGGTAAAGGGCAGAAACATATATGAAAGTAAAAATGCCCATGTGTTTAAACATGCATTGAAAACCCTGGAGAGTGGCCAGGTGCAGGGGCACACCCTGTAAATCCAGCAATCCAGAAGGCTAAGGCAGGGGGATCACAAGTTTGAGGCCAGCCTGGGCAATTTACTGAGACCCTGACTCAAAATAAAAAAATGAAAAGGGCTGGAGACACAGCTCAGTGGTAGGGTGCTCGCCTAAGGCCCTGGGTCCCAAACCCAATATCACACACACACAAAAAACCCTCTGGAAAGCGACACAGAGTTGATAACAGATCACTGTGGGTTTTTTTTTTTTGTTTTTGTTTTCAAAACTAGATGTCTTTGTTACCTCCTGAGGGAAAGGGGAAAAAGAACTAAATATCAAAAGGCTCAACTCTAAAGAGACTACTGATTCAGATAACCACAATGACCCACAGGGTGAAAATCTACTTGGCCGGCTAGCATTGAGTGCTATATGGCAATATCACTGCGAAGCCTTCTTTCTCTTTGAGTGTAACTATTCTGGGAAAGGGAGGAAAATGAATTATGTAAATCATACAATCAGTTGAATTCATTTAAAACAATTTCCACTGTATTAAAGAGCAAGTATTTGAACTTCCTTTATTCTTAAAGATACACACACACACGCTATGGACTCACTTGTTCTCGGAGAGTCTGGATCTCATCCCTTAATTCTGAGAGTAAGCGACACTGTTCCTCAGGCAGAAAACTTCCCCGGGATTCCTTGTGGAGCTTCTCTAGCCGCATGATTTGATCCTCTCGGAATTTCACAATCATTTTATTCGACTGAATAAATTTTTCCTTTTTGAGGGTGAGATCTTCTAATTGGGTAATTCTTTCTACCAGAGACTTAAAGACATTTGTTGTTTGGTTAATCACAAAAAATAAGTCAGTCTTCCTAAATTTTCATAAACCCAGAAACAAATACTAAATTTAAATTTAATCCTAAAGGCAAAAGTAGATTTTCACAGCCTTCATTTACTTTCTTTATTAATCTGGTGCTATTCATTTTATTGTAGGGCAATAAAAACCACATTGTGAAAGCCTGAAATAACTTAAATCCCTTTTATCCTAATTCAGTTTCCTACCTTCTTTTCCTGTTCAGATTTCTTAAAGAATACCATTGCCTCCTGGAAATACTTCATGTAATCAGTCTTTTCTTTATCTATAATTGACAAAAAAAAAAAAAATCTCAAATTTTTAAAACCAAAAGATGAGTTTAACAGTCTTTGATTGAATATTCTCAACTAATAGAATGAGACTGTTGTCACTGGATCATGAATTTCAAATTAAACTACTCAATATATTAGCTGTTTTTTGAAGAAAAATGAGCTTTTCTTTATTTAGTCAAAATATATAGTGTGTGATATGTAGAAATAGAAATGGATCTAAAAAATTTGGGGGGAGTACCAGGGTGCAGTGTGCCTGCTGGGATTTAATTTTCCCTCGTTTATAGATTTCAAATGAATTCACTTTCTAGTAACTATACTTTGGAGAAAAGTGCCTCCTATTGTACTTAATAAACATGTAGAATATTATGTAGATCCTATGACAGAATACTGGAAGTGACCTAAATGAAATCAGTCTCTCCTTTTAGCAATTATTAAGGATGAATCATTCAAAATTATTTTAATTCCTTCTCCTGCATCTCACAGAACTCAGTGTTTTTGGCTCCTGTGTCTGGTTACAGGGTACTATGCTCCTGGAAGTGATATAAATAGAAAGGGCTAAATGAACAGAGGAGATAGTCGTGGGAACTTCTGGGAAGCCTATCTAGCAGCAGGGGGCTCTTGAACTAATATTCACACTTGTCCTTCCCAGGATGGTCCCGCTGTGTTCATTCTACCTCTAGTCAGAAGGCTTTCTGGAAGTGTCTGCCCGGAAGTAAGCTGGGCCAGTTGTTCTTTGAGCCTCTTCACTTCAGCTTGGAGCTGGCTCACATTTCCTTGCGTGTCTTCATTTACCACTGCCTGTTCAAGAATTAAGAGATCACTCTTTTCAGTTGTACAGTCCTGAGTTGGCATTTTTTTGGTATGGAGTGATAAACAGCCAACAAAACTGTGCTTCCATTTCATGAACGATCAAAAGGCCACCAGAATCAAAGTGTCCTAGAGTGGGAAGGAAACTTCCTTCTCTGTGCCTTTATACCTCGAGCTAGAGATGGACCAGCACCAGCCAGGCTCTCTTCTCCCTCACCACTCCCCTCCAGACTCCCACTTGAGTATTACTCTTTGACCAGCCCCGGGCTCTGTCTGGATCATCCTTCAGACCTGAGTGTTCCCTAATACTTCCTTCCCCCTGAAGAGGACAGACTTCACCCCCTTCCCCAGTGGAGAAAAGCAAACACCTCAATTGGTGCCATCCCCCACTCACCCCATCCCACCCCACTGTCCTAGCTCCCTATGAAGAAGAAACCTAGCCTGTGGGGCTGGGGTTGTGGCTCAGCAGTAGAGCACTCGTCTTGTTGGTGCAAGACCCTAGGTTCTATCCTCAGCGCTAGGTATAAAAAAAGAAAACAAAAAGAAACCTAGCCTGTAAGTGCAATGATGACCCTCAGGGCTGACCCAAGCTCCCTTGGCTTGGCAGAAGCAAGCCTCTCCAGAGGAATCCCACCCTGTATTTTTTAACAGCCCTCCTGAAAGGAAGAGTTGGTTTCACAGTTCCATTTTGTGTTTTCAACACACTAAATGATATCTTTCTTTTCTACCTGTGTGTGTATGTTACCAGGGATCGAACCCAGGGCCTCGTGCATGCTGAGGAAGCACCCTACAACTGTGCTACATCCCCAGCCCAGTATCTTCGTTTTCTTAAAGAAATTCTTGTTTAAGACAAACACTAAGAAGTTAAAAATGGGGGCTGGGGTTGTGGCTCAGTGGTAAAGCACTTGCCTTTCATGTGTGAGGCACTGGGTTCAATCCTCAGCACCACATAAAAATAAATATAATAAAGGTATCATATCCATTTACAACCAAAAATAAAAATAAAAAGTTAAAAATGTTCACCAACAAATATACCACTGTGACATAGGATGTTAATAGTGAGGAAGGTGTTACATGTGTGGGGACAGGGAGTATATGGGATGTTTCTGTACTTTCTGTTCAATTTTGCTGTGGACCTAGAACTGCCACAAAAATAATTTTTGTTAATTAAAAAATTATATATTTTTAGAAAAGGCTCACAAAAGCAACAGGGTGATAAGTGCCAACAACTGAGTACCAACCAGGTCAAAGGACTCAGTTGTGAAATGCCCAATACCTCAGTGAGGAAAAACTCTCTGCCAGCCCCACAGTTCCCTCTGCTCTTGACGTAGGAAGAGCCCACTCAGAAAGATTTAAATGGCTCATTCTTAATAAGTAGCAGATGCCCTAGCACTTTCCACTGGTAGAAAGGTCAGGGGACTAACCATTGATAGAGACTAGTATAGAGCTCCTAGTTTTGTTGTTTTGTGTGTGTTAAGAAGCCATTTCCAATTGTGCCTGACTCTTATGGCCAGCCTCATTATGAGGTACTTTTGACATCATCATCACATCAATGACACCATAATTTCAATTATCACTACAGTTCTATTTTCTCCAGACTTCTAGAAGTCCCAAGAGATAAGGCCAGAAAGCTCTAATTGTTTTTCCTCTTCATATTGCTAATATTCATATTAGTATGAAGTCATAATCCAAAGAAATATAACAAAGGACTATATCTATACTCTGATCTAGCTGGGGGAAAGAGAAACACAAACCACTTTAGACTAACCACGATCAGATAATCAGGGAATCTTCTTGGGGGTTTAGCATGAACAGTTTCACCCTTGAAGGAGAAATAAAATTAATCTACCAATTTAGAGCACAATTATTTTGTCTAAAACCGAAGAGATCTTCAACTTCTCCAAAATAAGTGGGGGACTTCTTGGTCTTTAAAGGTCTGCAGAAGCCAAAGTGTTGTTTGTGGGCAAAATACAGTCCACTATCTTCTGCAGATGAAGCTATACTGGAGCTTGGCTGCTCCCATTTGTTAATACACTGTCTATGGCTGTTTTCTCACTACAAAGGCAGAGACAGGCAGAGATGAGTAGTTGGAACAGAGTTCATGTGGTCCAAAAGCATCAAACAGTGACTACCTGTTTTTTCAAGGAACATCATTTTTTTTATATATCTTTATTTTTATTTTATGTGGTGCTGAGGATCGATCCCAGTTCCTCATGCATGCCAGGCAAGCGCACTACCACTTGAGCCACATCCCCAGCCCTACTTGACTCTTACAAGAAAAGATTTCTGACCCTACAGGTAATACCAACATTAAAGAAGCTTCTTGTATATAAAATGAAATGCAGACTCCCTGGAAATAGAGACAACTTGATAGACCAACTTTATCAATGTTACAAATTTCTTTCATAGCATACTTTCACCTTTGTACGCATCAGCTCTGCTATCATTGTTTAGGCAAATAAATTTAGTCTGTATCCCAATTACAAAGGAAAACTTTATGTAAAGAAAAAACTAGAAAAACAATTAACAACCATAAGATCTACCCTAGGTCTTGAATGGCTACAGAAAATAAAATGGAAGGGCTGGGGTTATGTATAGCTCAGTGGTAGAGTGCTTGCCTAGCAGGTGTGAGACCCTGGGTTTAATCACCAGTAACACCAAAAAAAAAAAAAAAGAAAACAAGGAAATAGAAATCTTACATATAGTTAAGATAAGCTTTCACAGAGAAATAGATAACAATTAACCATAATATTAGGGAAGGAGCTGGGGATATACCTCAGTGTTTGCCTCTGCATGCATAAGGCCCTGGATTCAATCCCCAGAACTGCCCCCAAAAAGAGTAATATTAGGGCAATCATAAACTGTATATTTTAAACTTAAGTCTTTTTCTAATTTACTAAAATACATTGAAGTATCTTACCTTGTTTTTAATCAGCTTGGCTCTTTGAGCAAAATTAAGTGTTGACAGGGTTTCCCCAAAACACCTGGATCCGGGATGAACATTTACAATTATGGCTGTTTTGGCATTACCACCAAGAGAATCCTGTTCCATGACATAAATGATATATGTTTTTATGTGAGAAATCACAAGATCTTTTCAAGCAAAATAAAGAAAGAAAAACAAAAAGGCACAATCTTTCCACCAAGACTGAGAGATGTCCCACTATCAATCTTAGTGAGCACAATCAAAAGAATGCAGGGACCCAATAATCTACTTTACCCGTAGCAAGAAGGTAAGTTTGGAGTCTCTGTAGCACACGTGTCTCTGTTTTCCATTACCCACATCAACAAGTGCGGTAATCACTTGGCCTAGGCAGCTCAATGATCGGTTTATATTACCTGCTTCCTAAGGTGATGGGAAAAAATAACAAAAATTTAGTGATATAAAAAAATAACAAAAATTAGTGACTTTCTGAATTAAAATAGATCTAATAGAGTGACAATCTTGGATGGAAAGGCAAGTCGGAGACTATTAGTTAATAATAATGGACTTTTCAGCTAAAAAACAGTATGCTCAATTATCCCCTAATAGTTTTCTATTTGAAGCACACTGCAGCATTAGAATGGTATAAAAGCAATGCACATTCAGTAGAAGCTGCACTTCAACTTTTAAATTTTTTTTTAAAGTATTTTTTTGGTTGTAGATGGACCCAATACATTTATTTTATTTTTATGTGGTGCTGAGGATCCAACCCAGTGCCTCCCATGAACTAGGCAAGCGTTCTACCACTGAGTTACAATCCCAGCCCTTAACTTCCGAATTTTGATCTTTCCGCAGGTCAGCCAACATTCTCAGGATAGTAGGAAGCAGCAGCAAGTCACAGCTCCCAGCTGACCTCAAGATCTTGAGGAGGAATGACCATGACACTACCAATTACTCTATTGCTGAAATATGATGTTCAGTAGGGTAGATATATTCAATGCATTTTATTTTTTTAATATTTATTTTTTAGTTATCGGCGGACACAACATCTTTGTATGTAGTGCTGAGGATCGAACCCGGGCCGCACGCATGCCAGGCGAGCGTGCTACCGCTTGAGCCACATCCCCAGCCCTATTTGATGCATTTTAAACTTCATGATACTTTCAACTTACAATGAATGTACTGGCATGTAACCCTACTCTAAGCAGCATCTGTATAAACATGTTATTTTATTATGCATCATGTATCAATAGAAACATGAGCCTTAGATTGCCAGAAACTGCATGAGAACTCAGGAGGCTCAAGCCTCACTTTTTTGTGTAAGATTTTTTTTAAAATATTTTTTTAGTTGTAGCTGGACACAATACCTTGATTTTATTTATTTATTTTTATGTGGTGCTGAGGATCAAAGCCAGCGCCTCACACGTGCTAGACAAGTGCTCCACCCCTGAGCCACAACCCCAGCCCCCTCAAGCCTCACTTTTAATGCAAAAAGAAGATCTCTCCTCTGCCATTTCTGACACCTCTCCCCCAACTCATATATATCCTAAACTATAGAATCCACACATATTTTAATGATGATCACATTACAATTATTATATCAATATACATTACACAGAACCTCTGGTACCATTGCTAGTACCTTAGCCTAGGCCTAGGTCCTCAACCCTGTACACTTGAAATATTAAACAATATAACCAGTCTCCTTTCTCTTTAGGCTCTCCCCTCTTCATCCTGGCAGTGGTAGGTCAGAGGGTCCAAGTTTTCCATAAAATAGGCTTTCTTCATGAAATCACTCATTTCTTCAAAACTTTTAAATTATTTCCCAGTATTTGGAAAGTTGAGTACAAACTTGGCCTGGCACTCCTGTCCCCAGTGATCTGGCCTACTTGCCTCTCTAACCCACCCTCCCATGCCAAAATGCCAAATGCCATACTCATTCTGCACGTTTACAATAAGCTTTGATTTGTCACCCAACTGGGCATGTATTCCCTCCCTACCCAAACCCTGTCCCTGTTTGAGATGACAACTTAAGAACTATTTCTTTTTCACATTTCCCCAAGGAATCCATTTCACATCCTTCTTTTTCTGTCCCCTGTTGATATACACTTCAACTTTAGAATAGTAGCAAAGCAATGCCTCCTTTATTTTTCCTTCTCTCTCTACAGATATTTTTTCCATATTTTTTATTGGTACATTAGAGTTATACATAATGGTGGAATTTGTTGTTATGTATTTGTATATGCACACAATACCTCTAGTACCATTATCCCCTCTAGCAAAAATTAAAACATTCTTGCCACTTGCCCTATCCCATTCACTTTCCCTTACCTAATAAAAATCTGCTCCTTTTAGATAGGAGTAATTTTTTATTTCTTTGCAGCCCTCACAATACCTGGTGTGTACTGACTTCTGGTAAGAATTCACCTATAGGTTGAAGACCATAATCTCATTCTTACCTTCAACCTCATCCCTTCTGCATGGGTATCTTTTTGCCTTTCAGATCCTGCTAAATCCACCAGGTTGAGTAGGGAGGTTCGAATATTCACAGTCTCATTGCTTTTTTCCATTGACTCTATTGTGATTGTAAAGACTGCATGAGACCTAGAGGATTCTCTATTCATTGATGTTGATGCCACACGTCTGTTCCTCCATCCTCCAGACAACACCTAGGTAAGAGGAAAATGTATTACAAGAAGCCACAGCAGGCACACTTAAGACAAACTTAAAATAAGTACTGGAGAACCACTGATTTAACAAGAAAAATACTAATTTACAGCTATTTACTTTCACAACATTTACACAAAATACATAATCCCTCTAGAGCAGAGGTGGGGAACACCTATTATGGTCTTTCCATTATCTAGCTTTGTAAGAGAAATTATATTTTCACAAATTTCAAGTGATACATGTTAGTCACCAAAATCAATAAAAAATCTGTAAAGTATGATAAGAAATATTACTGGCCCACCAAAGAACATACAAGTTTGTTTTTTTTTTTCTCTCTCCATGTTACAAAAAAAGAGAACAAACAGGAAATCAAAAGGCATAGTTTCTAGAAGTTTTTTGCCATACTCTATCTGTATTATCTTAATATAAATCACAAAATCTCTCTGAATCCTTTTCTTCACAATAAGAATGTTGAACCAAAGGAAAAAAAAATTCTGAATTACCTTGAAACTCAGAGAGTTATCCAGTCTTTTGTTTTGTTTTCTTTCTTTCTCCTCCATTCCCTTGGCCTGTAAAGTACCTATTTTCCCTTTCTATATTCCCTTTCTATTCCCTATGGCAAGCAGGAATACATGAAGGTTCACACTGCAGGCTTTAGAGTCTGCATGATGAGTTCAACCCTGGCTCTACTGTAGTGTGATCTGGAGTCAGTTGAACCTTTTCAAGGCTCAGCCTTTATATTTTTAAAACAAGAACGTGAATGCCTACCCTTCAGGGCAGAAAATCCAAGTTCAACATGCATATAATCACCTATGGACAGGGAAATTAGAGGTTGATCTCAATTTTTCTAATTGATGAAAAAAAAATACTAAAAAAAGTTCAAAAATTGAATCTAGTCCTTTATCATGTTAACACTTGAAAGGAAAAAGAAAGCACATGATCATGGCAGTAGCAGAAAAAAGCATCTGAAAGAATTTAACATACATTTCTGATTTTGTAAGATAGTTAGCAAGGTAGCTAATTAAGTAAAAAGCATTCTATAAAAATCAACTGCATTTCTATTTACATCAAACAGAATATGTAATTTTAAAGAGATTATAAGAGCATCAAAAATTGTAAGGCATATTGTAATAAAGTTAATGAAAACTACATGACTTTTATGGTGAAAATTACTAAAATTAATATCTCAAAATATTAAATCTAAATAAATGAAGAAATAAATGTTGATGTATGAACTGAATATTGTAAAGGTATCAATTACTCCAAGCTGGTCTACAACTGCAATGTAATCCAATCAAATCCCAACATGATTTTTTGCATATGTATCTATATACATACTGAGCCACATGTAAAACCTACCTCTTACTGGGGGAATCTCAGTTTAAAAAGTTTGAGTCAAGAGACTTTTTGAAGGTGGAAAAACAAACTAGTAATATTATATAGCAGTGAAAATAGATGCAATGCAACATAGATGCATTTCATAAACCATGTTGAGTTAAAAATTCATGAGGTTGAACATAAACTATTTTTTAAAACCCAAAAGGAAGCAAAAGCAACATATTAATATGTGTATATATTTGTAGTTTAAAAGCAGAAGCAAATGATAATCATATTCAACAATATTTAGGGGAGTAGTCAGGGGATAAGGAGGAAAATACAAACAAAAAGGATAATATTGGTGCTATATGAGTATTAAATTGTCTTGAATGTTCATTTTAAAATTAAACTTAGTAACTACATGCATGTTGCAATATTTTGTATATATTAAATATTACAGTATAAAAATTACTTAAAATCTGTAAAATATGAGAAGATTTTTATAAATTTCCACTGCTGGGTTGCCCTGAACCGAAGTTGGCTTTTGACGCCCAACTTGCAAGCAAAAATAGAAAGACGTAAAGAGCTAGCTGCTTCACAGCCAGCATTCCCACAAGCTCCTTATACTAGCAGCTCCCAGGCAGACTAACTTAAGAAACAGGGACACTAATGAATCGTCACCTGCAGGGTGTTTTTAAAGAGTACTTGATTAGAATAAATGTATCAAAATAATGCTAAATCAAGTGGCTCAGAGTTCTTTTTCACTAAATCCTGCCCTATTCTTTTTTCTTTTCATGAGCATTTTGCATCATGCCTCCATGAAATATTTTTGGCACCTCATTCTACTTTTTTGAGATCGGGGTGCTTTCACAGCATGTTTATTGCCTAAGCATCAAGTAAATACTCATGGAAGGGTACCTGATAGGCTTCAGCAGCAGAAGTGACCACTTGCTCCACTGCACCAACAACAAACACTCCCTTCTTGATGTGTTCTCGTAAGTGCAGTCCAGTTGAGGCAGAGTCCAGCAGGTCATAGATCTGCTCATTGTAGATCTCAATAAAGGAACACTTACACAGGAAACTTTTTCCAGCACCAGCCTATAAAAGAAGCCTCAGTTAGAGCCATTATTGTCATGTGTTCTCCCAGCTTTCACCAGCATTAATTTTGTAGTTGTTTGACAAGGTGTAAATTTCCTACACTATTAACCTTTAATAAAGATACTGAAAAGGCATTGGAAAAAATCTAGATAACTAGTTTCAATAACATTTTAAAGCAGTATCAAAGTGTGATCCCAGGAGCCCTGGAGGTTTCCAGAGGCGTCTCAGAGCCAGCTTAGGGAGTAGGTTAATTGGGCAATTTCATTTTAGTCTGTTTTTTATTTTGGACTTTCTCATAAAGTTTTATTTGAAACAAGCATTATGTTCTTTAAAAGACTGAAAACAATTCATTTTAAAAGACTTTAGAATTTTTAACCACAGAAATGCATGTTGCTAAACTCAATTATTTTATTGGCATGTAATTTATGTGTCTAACTGAAATATTATGGATCGTTTCTTTTATTTTTCTCCTGTTTTTGGTGGTACTGTGAATTGAACTCAGGGGTTCACATCTCCTGCCCTTTAAAGTTTTTTTTTTTCTTTTTAAATTTTGAGACAGGGTCTTGCTAAGTTGCTGAGGCTGGCCTCACACTTGTGATCCTCCTGCCTTAGCTTCCAGAGTCACTGGAATTATGCACCACTGTGCCAAGCTTGGGGATAGTTTCTGAAAAGCAGTAAGTGATAAACTGATATCAAATCACTTTCCTTGGTATACAGTAATGGAACATATAATACTAAGGGTTCTTAAGACTGAAATTTGGCAAGCCAAAGAGGAAGCACAATCATAATAATGGCCCAACCTGGGAGCCAGCAAGAGAGGGAAGACCTTGTCTCCACATGATAAGAGGCATATCACACACAGAGCAAGGAGATCGTAGTGAAATGGAAATGGTGCTGCAAAGGAGGCAATGATGGACCCAATCACTAGTGATGTCAGGAGGATCTAGGGATACCGGAAAGCCCAGGTACAGGTAGATGACTGGGCTTAGTATATTCATGAATCTGTTTTCCTCAGTCAGGATTTATATATATATATATATATATATATACATATATATATATATATATATACACTTTCTCTCTTTTACAAACTAAAAACTCAATCAAATTGAAAACAAAACCCCCAGAATCACTGATTTTATCTTAAGAATTGAAAGGTTTTTCAATACCATATTTGCTGACACACAGTGTAGAAGAGAGTACCATCCACACTCCTCTATGTATCCTGAGCTAATTATTAGCAGCTAACTACTCAAAACTAGACATTTCGTTGAACCATTTTATTTTTATAGTAAGTTTTACCTTCTCTTTTTCACGATCAATTAAGTAAAATAAATATTCAAAACTTCGGGGAATTACTCCTCTCAGGTTGTGAGAAAAATTATCAGATTCAGATGGTCCTAAAAAAAGTAAAACAAACAAAAGGCCTGAATTTCATTCTATTTTTTAAAATATATTTTTTAATATCTTTATTTTATTTATTTTTATGTGGTGCTGAGGAATGAACCCAGGGCCTTGCACTTGCTAGGCAAGCGCTCTACCACTGAGCCACAATCCCAGCCCTGAATTTCATTCTATTACAAGAGTCCTTCAAGATAGGAACACTGAAAGACAATTTACATAAAAATAAGATGATACAGTGTACAATCAATTTCCTACTTCAGCTCTGACCATTACATTTAAGCCTGTGAAAGACAGGATGCTAGAACCTGTCAATCAGTAGAACTGAAGGCCGAAAGCAGTCACCATCTGATTTTTTTATTGTCGTTTCCTAAACAAACACAAAAATCCACCTAGGTATTAAGCTTGGAATTGTTCCAATTGCCATGTGCCAGAATCAGAAATTCCAACTAAATCTTATACAACCACAAGAATGGGAAGTTATACTCCATGTAAGTATAATATGTCAAAATACATTCTACTGTCATGAAAGAATTAAAAGATATGAAAAAAATACCAACTAATTCTAACTTATTTATTGCATGTGACATTTGGTTTCACGGATTGACCTATATTCTACAGCATAGCCCCACATTGTGAGCATAGACTATTTAGTCTCTCCTAAACTTGAGTTTTCAACTATAAAATGGAGATAATAATGGAATATCTAACACATGGAACTGTTAGAATTAACTGAGTATAAAAGTAAAACACTTGGAGCAATGCTTTAAACACACCAAGTACTAAAAATTAGGAGTTGCTAGTATTGTTTAAATTGGGCAGTAAAATCCAAGCTGGTAAGAAAGATAAAATAACAATATCTTACAAGATTTCTATCAGAGAGATAAACAGTCTTATCTCTACTTCCTTACACAAGAGGAAGGAGGAGAAACGAGTGGATGCCTAAGCAGAGTTTTAGGAATCCTACCCCAGCTTATGATGTGATACATATTTCTTGGTTTTGTTTGACAGTCCTGGTTCAAAGGACCTATAGTCCTTGTTATTTTCTAAGTGATTTTCGAGAAATAAGAATATCTTTTGTTAAAAAATTGGTCCTTTGTCTTTGGTCCCTGAAGCAGCTCTAGAGCAGCTTCAGAACAATAAAGGTAAAAGAGAATTTATTTACAAGTCCTTTCAAAAATACATGAGTGCTAGGGTTGTGGCTCAGTGGTAGAGCGCTTGCCTAGGTTCAATCCTCAGCACCACATAAGAATAAATAAATAAACGAAGGTATTGTGTCCATCTACAACTTTTAAAAATTAAAAAAAAAAAAAACAATGAGGTGATTTTTGGAAACTATAGGATGAGGGGTTGGTTGCCAAGGCAACTAGCCATGTGCTCAGAGAGCTGGGACTTTCAGCTCTACCTCCCAGGCTCAGGGGAGGGGAGAGGGACTGAAGGTTAAGTTTTTCACCAATGGCCAATGCTTTAATCAATCATGTGTATGTAATGAGGACTGGATTCAAAAGAGCTTCAAGATAGCTGAATACAACACATCTTCTAGAAAGGTGAATAAGAATATATCCAAGTGCAGGGAGGGTAGTGCACCCCAACTCCACAGGGACAGAAGCTCCTGTTCTGGGGACCCTACTGGGCATTCCTTTATGTATTTCTTCATGAATTCTTCTAATTATATATCAGATCATTTGTATCCTTTAAACTATTCTCTATAGTAAGCTAATTAAAGGTGTTTCCCTGAGTTCTGTGAGTTATTCTAGAAAATTAATCAAACCAGAGGAGGGGGTTGTGGGAACTCCAGTTTATAGTTTGTTTGTCAGAAATATAAGCCACAAACTGGGGCAGGCAGGCAGTCTTGGGGACTGAGCCCTAAACCTATGAGATCTGACTTTATCTTCAAGTAGATGGTGTCAGAAATGAATTGGATTAGAGGACACTCAGCTGGTGTCTGCTGCAGACCTGCTTGCTCACTTGCTGGTAGGGAGAAATTCTTAAACCTTTTAAAGTCACAGAAGTCTTCTGTGATGATTTTTTAAAAAATTTTCTTTAGTGGTGCTGGGGATTGAACCCAGGGCCTATGTATTCGAGGCAAGCACTCTACCAACTGAGCTATATCCCTAGCACATGTTGATTGTTGTGGCGTGAAAGCAGAGGAAAAACAGCTTGGTTTTCCTGAAGAGAACTATATCAATATTTACCAGAAAAATATATAGCAAGAAAAGACCTGGAAGTTACTATAAATTTTAGTTAAGTATGCCTTAGAGACTAAAGGAACTAACAGAATCCAGGTATGCATAGGAATGGTACAGAGAACAATTTAAAAATCTTGTCCTGTGCAAGGCCTTACTGATTACACCTGGAATAATTACATGGTCCTTGTAAACTGTACTTTTAAGAAATGGATAACATTCCATCATTATGTACAACTATAATGCAGCAATAAAAAATGTGGACAGAAAAAAAGCATACAAAGGTAGAAAATGCAATTAAATGAGCAAAGAGAATAATATTAGAGCAGAAATCTTACACCATATTCTTGAACAATATTTAAAGATCGTCAACATATCCTTGGGCACCTCTATCATCACTTGCCTAGAAGGAAATAGTTACTAATCCTGCTCCCTCTTGAACCCTTCCTCTTTATTCCATTGATGCCTGAGTAATTCTTCTAATTATATATCAAATCATGTAATTCCTGTTTTAAAATAACCTTTCCAATAACTTCTTATCATACAACAAAATCTGAATTCCTCTCCAAGGCCTATGTGAATTGGCTGCAGGCTACTGCTCCAACTTCCCCTGCTACAAGCCCCTTGTTCTGGAAAACTCCACTCTGGCTGTAGGTGTCTGCTGCTCCTCACACTGTTGCCTATGTGCCCAACTCAGGGCCTGTGCAGTTGCTGTGCCTCTGCCTAGAAGTTTCTTCTCTGGATAGTCTCAGTACCCACTCTCATTTCAATTGTGACCTGAGAAGTTGTTCTTAACCGTCCACCTAAAACAACACCCCATGCTCTTCTCTATCCCCCACACTGCTTTATTTCTCTTTATGGCATGTATAACCTCTAGAATAATTACTATACATTTACTTGTTTTTAATTGTACATATGTCCCACCACCACTCTGGAATATAAGCTCCACAAGACCCTGGACATGGCTTTGTAGTCACAGAACAACAGTGCCTTGAAGAGTACCCGGCACATTGTAAGCACTCTAGTATTTGTTGTTCTTGTAACCTGAGAGAGAGGAAGAGTTTCCTTACAACAACTCACAATTCAGAAGCCACTGAAATAAAATAAAAATAAATAAATAAATAACAGGGAAAAGGGCTGGAGGATTGTGGCTCAGTGGTTCAGCACGTGTGAGGCACTGGGTTCGATCCCCAGCACCACAATAAAAAAATAATACACTGGAACCAAAACAGGCTGGTAGATCAATAGTACAGAATAGAGGACACAGAGACCAACCCACAAAATTACAACTACCTTATATTAGACAGTGTCTACTAAAGCTAAGAATACATATATCCCATCATCCAGCAATTCTACTCCCTGATAAATATCCAACAAAACAACTTCAAAATGTGAATACAAGAAAAAATATTCAGAGCAGCATTATATGGTCCCAAACTGGGACCAAATCCAAATGTTCATCAACAGTGAATGAAAAATTTGTAGTATATTCACACTATAATACACAGTAATGGAAATAAACTACTACTGCACCCAAAAAATAGAAACAATGAGGGAGAAAAAAACAGAAACAAAAGAACACATACAGCAAAATTTCATTTTTGAAACTTCAAAAATAGGCAAATCTAATGATAAGAGCAGCAGTACTTAGGCATGGGGCTGGAGTAGTTACTAATTAGGACTCTTGATCTTGGTGATATAGTATAGAAATACATAAAATATCATTAAAGCCCATTAAAGGAAAACTGTTTACCCAACACCAAGTCTGTGCTAGGCATCGAACTAGGAAACATAACTGTGAACACAACTAAGTCATGAACTCTGCTATCCAGAAACTCATCATCTGGCCTAAGAAATATCCCTAATTTTATGGGATCAACATCACATATAGAAATTATGCCTTCACCCAAAATGTATTACATGTTGTCATCACCAAAAGCATACATTAAGATAGCAAATATTCATCTTTAATTTACTTACCCATCATAGTAAATGTCTTCCCTGAGCCAGTCTGCCCACTGTGAAAAAGGTTTTATATATTAACACACAAAATTTAGAAGACTATCCTTCTAATTTTAATATGGTCTACTATTATATAAATTTTCACCACAAAAAGTTATTCTTTCTATTTCTAAATTATATTAGATAAAACACAAATGATCTAGTTTCTTTCCCTCCAATTCCAGTACTAAGAACCAACCACTATCAATTATCTGGTAAATGCTTCTAGATAATATTCAGAATTTTCATTTACAAAAAGTGAGATTCGTACGGTTCTGCAATCTGCTTTGCTCTTAATTTTATCTCAGATATCTAAGTCAGGGAATGATGTCTGCCCCATTGTTTTTAATAACCACATACTATTTAATGCATATGAAATCTTATAGCATAATTTATTTTACCAAAATTAATTGGACCATTTTCAGTTTTTGCTATTGTAAAAAATGCAACAATTCCTTTCCTAAATGCTTTGTCTTAAGAAGATATTAAATGTCTTTGTTTAAAACTATGGCAATTTTAAAAACCATTATGTAATATAGGTTTTATTTTGTGCCCAGAATCCTATCTCCTTTGTTATGCCACTTAACAGAAACAACAAAAAACTAAAAATTAAAAACTTGTAAGTTAAAAATAAATGTCAATCATAGTGTCAAATGATTTTAGCTCAGATTTACAGCAAAAAAAAAAAAAGTAAAATTCTGCCAGGCACATCAGTGCACACCTGTAATCCCAGCTACTTGAGAAGCTGAGACAAAAGGGTTGCATGTTCGGAACCCGCCTCAGCAACTTAGCAAGACCCTGTCTCAAAAATAAAATATAAAAAGGGCTCGGGATGTAGCTCAGTAGTAGAGCAACCCTGGTCCAATCACAAATACTGCAAAAGAAAGAGAAATAGAAAATGAAAAACAAAGAAGAAGAAAAAAGGTGACAAAAAGAAAAGGGCTGAGGACAGATCTTAGTGATAGTGCCTCTGGGATCAATTCTTAGTATTGCAAATAAAGAATAAATAATAAATAAAGTATTGAATTTTCTTTTTGGTCAAGTGTCCCCCAAAACCAGAAAAAAAGTATGTTCTAATTGTTACCTCCTAATTTTAGAAGTACGGAGGAAAGTTCTTTGGTAATTCAGAATGAGAAATGGATATTACTGAGTACTCTACAACTAGAGTAACCCTATGAACTACTATCCCAACAGGCACTTGAGAATGAAGGGCCTACCATTAACAATTACTCTAGAATTAGCACTGTCCTAGGCAAACCAGAAAGTATAATCACCCAACAAATAAATCACTCATTTCTAAGTGCTTCTTATTTCTACTCACAACTCCAAAGTGATTTTCATTAAGTTATTAGTGAGTATATCATAAATTAAATATTATTAGTAGTATGACTTACAGGATCCTCAAAAAAAAAAAAAGAGTTGTGAAGATACACAATCTCTGCAATTGAGGCTATTTCAAAATCATTTTGAACTTCAACACTCCAAATACTCTATGGAAAAAGTCTTTAATCTCTGAGGAAGATATATCAGGAAACAGTTTTCAGCCTCATAGCTCAAAAGAGAACATTTAGTTCTGCTGACTACATGAAAAATAAACACGAAAAGCAAAGGCAAATTTTAACAGTGGAATATATGTGCAGAGTGAGTGCTAGGCTTTTAACTTCTTAATATATTCTTTATTTTCTTGTTTTTTGAGCAAGTTATAGAAGAACCAGGATACATAGACAGAACAAAAACAAAACAAATCCCTTGTACCTAACAGCTGCTCAAAATGAATACAAAAATCAGTACATCTATTAAAACCTTCTAGTTCTACATATATTTAGGGAAAAAAAATAATCACACTATCATGACGCCTTCAGGACTTAAGCTATTATTCCAACATCAAGCCCGCTGCAACGTAGGCAGGTTGCCAACATTTAGAAAAACAGGATCATTGTTCACTTCAGGTATATACATGATTGAGTAGATATAAAATGCTACAGCCACTTTAAAATATAGTTTGGCAGTTTTTTATAAAGTTAATCATAGACTTACCATATGATCCAGAATTGGCATTCCTAAGTATTTACTCAAGTGATTTGAAAACTTATGTTCACACAAATACCAAATTTAAATGTTTATGGCAGCTTTATTCACAATCACTAAAAAAGGAACCTAGCAAGATGTCCTTTAAAGGGTGAATGCATCAACAGACTGGCGTGTCCTCACATACAAAAAAATACTATGCAGCAAAAAAGGAATAAACCATGAATGTAGACAACACCGACAAACCCAAAGGGCATTTACTAAGATTAAGAAGCCAGATTCAAAAGGTCACATATTGTATGATTACACTGATGACACTCTGGAAAAGGCAAACTATAGGAATGGAAAATACATGAGTATACCCTGGATGACAAGGATTGGGAGGAGCAGGGTGTGGCTGACTACAAAGGGGACCCCTAGGGAATTTGAAGGTGAAGGAACTCTGTGGTACCAACAGAAAATACCTGATACCATGCATCTGTCAAAACCAATACAACTATAAAGCACAAAGGTTGAACTTTAAAGTATGCACTCAAACAAAAGCATATCCACCAGGATATTAAGGTTCTCAGAATAGAATAATATAACATAACTGCAGAGAAGTGAGCAGGTAGGAAAGGAGTTGACCTAAAAAAGTTTAGAAAATGGATTTTGACTCAAAATTATAAGGCTTTAAAAAAAAAAAAAAAAAGAACTGTACATAAACACTATACTCAGTAAATATTCATCTCATAGGGATACAGGCAAATAAATCCGAAACTGCTTTACCTGTATACTAGGTTACACAAGTTAGTAAATGAATGGTAAACAGTAGAAGTCAGGTCTCTCACTACCAGCAAGGAAAGTTAACAGTGGTTATGGATTAGGATCAGCCATCGGTATGAAATAATGTTTCCCTTTACACACATGTACACACAAATGGATAGGCACAGAAACAATTATAGATATACATGCCTTAGTATATATACATATACCACTTAGATCTGTCTACTGAGAAGGCCTAGAAACTGTCACTCTTCAATTCCAACAAACACACCTACCACCCAGATCTTGGTTTCTAAAAAAAAGAACAAGGATTCCTTGAGCCCAGAGCATCTTATAATATCACAAAATAAGGAAGTACTCAAAATACACAAGGGTAGAATATGGCAAATGGACACAGAAACCAACCTCAAAGAGTTCCCAGGGGCCAAAGTTGAATGATGTGAGCAACCAAATAAATAATGTAGCATTGGATTATAACCCAAAGTATGCTATAAATATACATATGTCCATATGAAAGAAAGAAGACAAATCTTTATATTTATTTATTTTTTTGATGCTGGGGATTGAACCCAAGTATTGTGCATGCAAGGCAAGCACTCTACTAACTGAGGTATATCCCAGCCCCAAGAAGACAAATCTTTCTTACAGAAGAATTTAAAATATAACATATAGACACTCTCTTCTCCATAAAGCAGAGCTTAATCCCACACCTTGATTATCAAGTGGGGCTGAGTTAATCACACAAGTCCTTAAAATCCAAGAACCTTGTCCACTATAGTTAAAGGGAGATGTGACTAAGAAAGAAGAATTGAGGAATTGTACATTGTTGGCTTTGAAAATAAAGAAAGGGGGCTGTAAGCCAAGTAATCTGGGTGGCCCCTAGAAACTAGGAAAAGAAAGAAAATAGATTTTCTAGTACAGCTTCCTAAAAAGGAACATGACCTTGTTAACACCTTGATTTAGCCCAGTCAGACCTATGTTGAAATTTTTTTTCCTGGTACTGGAGATTGAACCTAGGGGCACTTTACCACTGACTTATATCCCAGCCCTTTTTACTTTGAGACAGGATTTCCCAAAATTGCTGAAACAGAGACTAATAAATTTTTATGGTTTTAAGCAATTAAGTTTGGGGCAATTTATTAAAACAGCAATAGAAAGCTAATAAAAAGCCAATAAAAACATTTACTTCTATACCCTTATATGTGGATACAGTCAACAACTTACTATGCCAAGATGGTACCATTATAGCCGCTCATGCAAGACTCCACAATGCTTTTAGTTACAGTTGAGAATACAGATTCCTACAAATGTAAGTACCAAACACATTAACATTTCAGAAAAATGAAAACCTTTTCCTAAACTATATTCTACAATATAATGAGAAAAACTGAGTGCTAAGATTTTTTAAACAAACTTATGATATCATGGTTACATCCTCTATAGAAAAATGTCTGAAACATCTAAGCAATAAAATTTTAACCATAATTAAATCTATTAATCTCCCATATAATTATAGATTTAAAGTGCACATCTATCAAGGGCAGGACAGAGTCTGGCCAAATATCAGTATCTGAGAAAGCTAACTCAGTGCCTACTTGACTGTCTTTACCTTCATCTACTTCTATGAAATAGAGTTCGTACTATTTTTAAAAAGTGTTGATGTTAAGTTTATAAATTAAAAAAAAAAAACAAAAACTAAATTTCATGTAAAATTTTTCATAGCATATTGCATGCAAATATTAATCTGGTATTAACAAATAACCCTATGACTTATTCAGTTATTTTCTCATAAGTTTATACTAAATAATATCTGATTTTTATTTTGAATTTTGCATATAAGTAGATGCAGTCTTATCAACAACTCAAGAACCCCTAAATCTACATTGTCCACGAGCCACACTTGACTATTGAGTACCTAAAACATTGCTAGTCAAAATTGAGATGAGTTGAAAGTGTAAGACACATGCTAGATTTTTTTTTTCTTTTTGGGGTACCAAAGATTGAACCAGGGGTGCTTAACCATTGAGCTCCATCCCCAGCCCTTTCTAAACTTTTTTTTTTTTTTGTGGTGCTGAGGATTGTCTAAACTTTTTTATTATAAGACAGGATCTCGTTAAGTTGCTGGCTTCAAATTTGCAACCGTCCTGCCACAGCCTCCTGAGTCACAGGGATTACATACATGTACTACCACGCCTGGCCACACACTAGATTTTGAAGACTGAGTGTAGAAAAAAAAAAAAAGGAAAATATCTCAATAATTTACACTGATTACATGTTGAAATGATACTTTGGACATATTGAGTTAAATAAGACATATTTCTAAAATCAATTTTACCTGAGTCTTTATACTTTTCTTTTCAATGTGTCTACTAGAAAATTTAAAATTATACATGTGGCTTTTATATTTCTATTGGCTAGCAATGCCATAAATGAAAAGGTAAATGATCTAAAGCTCTAAATAGCTCACCAAAAACATATGTATAAGAGAATAATCAAGACCCATGATGTACAGTATAGTAAGAATCAGCTATACATGGCTACTGAAGTTTAAATTAATTAAAATTAAATAAAACTTAGTTCATCAGACACACTAGCCACATTTCAAATGCTCAACACAGTCACATGTACCTAATGTACATAAGGCACCGATTTAAAATTTTATTTAATTTTAATTAAACTTAGTCATGTGGCTATAGATTACTGTGATAAACAGCTCAGATATAAAAGATTTCCATTAATGCAAAAAGTTCTATTGGCTAGTGCTGACTAGATCTTAATTAAATTGGCCTTATTGTCATCATAGTAATTCTAAAATCCTTAAACTAGGTGGCTGATTGTTCTCATCAAACACTCAAGCGGCCCCCAAAAGTACTCCTCCATTAACCTCCATCACTGAGTGGAGAAGCAAAGTAAAACAGGCTTGTGTTATCCTATCACAAAATTCGATGAATAAAGAAGAAAGCTATTTAGTAAAATTAGAGTTGAAATATTCATGGAATGTTTGAACTTATCTTAAATCAATCAAACTAAAGAGATCAAAAATGAAATCTTTACAAATAACAAAGACTTGTATATTTCAAGTGAAAAGTTAAGCTTCCAGTTTTCATTACCTGCGTGGTGTCCATGTCTGCAACATAATCAAATGTGAAGATCTTGGGCTCAGGGCTGGAATGCAACCGGAGACTTGTTGTGGAAAGCACAGATAAGCACAAGCCATGCTCTCCATCAACTGACCTAGAGCCCTCGGCAGGTGGACGAATTCGCACAAAAATTTTGATGGCATCACCTTCATTACTAAAGGAAAAGAAAGTAACAGCTAAGTTTATTGGAGAAAAGAAAATTGTATAGGATCTGAATTTCATGTTGCCTCTAATATTTCTTATAATAAGGTTCCCTAACAAAGTCCAATACATACTCCATTTAAATTTACCTCTTATAAGAGTCTCAATGACCCACACTATTTATTGAGTTAGTTCATGATAGGCACCTTCATAAACCTTTACTGGAAATAAAGGGAGTTCTTTTCAAAGGGATATAAACACTGCTTGTCTCTCATTCCCTCTTACCAGCAAAAATAAAAGTCATTCCAAGGGAGAATTATGTAACCAATCCCTTATTTTAATTTGGAAATTAAGAGGGCAGGGGAAGTATATTATTTTCCCATATTTCCAGCTGATTGAGGACTAAGCTAAATTTTAAAACAAGTACCCCTTACTATGCTAAATACTTATTCTAGAAATATAAAATTGCTAATTCTTTGGGGGCTCATCAATAAGACTTTTTTCTTACCTCGGCAGGTTAGACTGAGAATTTGTCACATTGCGTAACTCAGCTTAAAAAAAAAGATAAATCATTAAAGATGATTATAATTAGTTTATGGAAATCCCATTCTCTAACTTGTTCCTCAGTTGCTGACACTCTTCAGTCTCCCCATCCCTCACATCCATGGTGTGATGCTCCTGGGCTGAGGCCTTGATCCTCTTACCTATTCTATCTCAACCCATTAAGGTGGTAATGCTGTCTAGCCCCATGGTTTTAAAAGCTAGGTATATACTGATGATTCCCAAATTTAAATGTTCTCTCTAGATTGTTTTCCTAATTGCTTACTTGAAATCTACAACTGGATGTCCAGGGGGTAATGTCTCAAATTTAATGTGTCCAAACCTGCTCCTGATTCCCTTGTGCCACACCAATGTTCTGCTTCATCTCAGTAAATCACAATTCCATCCTTCCCGTTGTTCAGGCCAAAAATCATAGAGTCATCCCTAACCCCATTCTTTCTCACTGGAGCCAATCTGTCAGCAACTCCCTGACTCTAACTTTAAAATATATCTGTAATCTTAAACTTCTTGCCAAATCCACTGCTACCACTGCAGAATCAAGCCAACAACATCTTTTACTTGGGTTATTACAACAGTCTCCCTGCTTCTCTCACTCCCCTGAGCAGAGACCACCATAGGGATAAAGGACAAATGCAATCCTGGGCCTTAAATCATGGGCTGACAACCATTAAAAGATAGTACAAGATTTTTCTCTGCTCTCCCACCTTAACTCATTGTTTGTAAGGTATGAAAAGCTTGGTATGGGCCTTACCCATTCCCCTCAAACAACTTTATTAGCTTCAGAAACTAGGTGCCTAATTAGGATCAGGATGCTCTTGCCATGACTCTCTGAGGACAAACAACATGATGAATAAAAACTGTTGAGAAACCATCAAAATGGCAAATTCCCAGGGCCCTTAATTTGATGCCTGCCATAATTTGTGTTCTCTTCCATGCCCCACCTTTGTGTTCTCTTAACAGCTACTGAGACTTCCTTATTACAAGACAAATGTTTATATGGAATGTGGCAACAATATGGAAAACTAACATTTGGCTCCTGGATAACTAACTGATCTTCCTCAGAGTTAAAGTGCTCTCACAGGAAAAGAACCAATACATCCAGAACTTGGAGGAGTTCAAATAGGAGAAAACCAAAGAGGAGTACAGATAGACACATTATACTAAATATTCTGAAAGTCAAAAACAAGAAAAAAAAAATTGAAAGCAGCAAAAAAAGGCCTGTTGTTACAAGTAGCAAGACGAAATCCCATACCATCCCACTCCCTCCAGCCAGCACATATTCACATTCCATAAGCTACCCTCCTAATTGTCATTTAGTAGCTGCTTCAGTTATCATTAGATCGTCTAATGGTAGGTATCAGTGTTTTTGTTCAAGTAAGCTTTGCAGCCTGTGTCACATTGCATAGCTCATTCATCTCAATTATCTTACAGATAGGCATTGTATCATCTCATTTCAGAAAAGGAAGGATGAATACAGTAAGATTTTTAGAGAGACCACATTCACATAACTATTATTACAGTGTACTATTCTAACTGTTCTTATTATTTGTTATTGTTAGTATGTTACTGTGACTAATTTACTGGGAGTCTTGGAATGTATCCTTGAGGATAAAGGGCGACTACAATAAAGATACTGCTGCAATCTGTGCTTTAAATTCCATTATCTGCAAGAGAAAGACGTGTTTGGGACATAGATAAATCCTTCCTTTTGAGAAAGTCAGAAATATGGAAACCTGCAGAAGGTAGTGATCACTGAGTAAGTGCTGACCCTCAGGCAGGGCCACCTAGACAGGCAGCCCGCAGCGGACAAAGAAGAGGGCCGGCAAAGAAGCAGCAAGATGGAAAGAAGGAAGAGGAAGAACAGATTCTAGTCTTAGGGCTCCGGTTCCCCACTGCTGTTCCCGAGCAGAAGTGTGCCAGCTCCCCGCAGGCGCCAATGTGCAGAAGGAACGCTGAGAGTTGCCTGCCAGCTCTCTCTCTGTGCAGCACGGATTCCAAGATGATCACCGATCTTTCCTGTCCTTCACCAGGGACAACCCTACGGGAAGCCTCGCGACGTCGTATCTCGGGCGGTAACTGGGTCATGAAACCGCGGCCCCCGACTTACTTTTGCAGCCAGGCGCCATAGCGCCCTCAGCCCTGGACCTGGAACCTGCTCAGCCGACGCCTCCACCTCCCGCCCTGCAGCGGTCCCGCCCGCCCAAGATGGCGAGAATTTGAATTTGGCGCTCCGGCCAGACACTGACGTCACACGCACACCGACTTGCCCGGTCTCCGTCGGGGCGTGGTCTTGACGTCATCGGCGAGCGCCGTCACATCTGGGGACTGTCAGAGAGCCCTCGAAAGGGTTTTACCCAGATCCGCCATGAGCAAGCGGAACCAGGTGTCGTACGTGAGGCCCGCCGAACCCGCCTTCCTGTCCCGCTTTAAGGAGCGAGTCGGGTACAGGGAAGGGCCCACCATAGAGAGCAAGGTGAGCGCTGCAATCGCGTTACCTCGGAAACGCTCCCGGTCCACCATTTCCGGCTCCTGCAGGCCGGTTACTCCTCACCCCAATTTGGTGGACCTCGGACCATGGGCAGGACTTGTTGAAACCATACATCCTCCTGCGTCTAGGAAGCTCTGTTTTAGAGCGCGGCTGCTTTCTCGAAAATGACCTGACGTAGGTGAAGCTCCTGGTCCTTGGTTAAGAAAGATGGCTTTCTTGTCTCTTTTCGCCTGCATATCGCAGAACCTGTGAGGAGATTGGATAATAGCACCGTCCCCATTTTCCAGATGAGAGGACAGGTCACTCGGTCAAATGACCTGATATTCTAAGACTCGAGTCTCGAATGTATTTTGATGAACGCCCTGTATCTATTTCTGTTTTGTTGTTAAAATAAATTAAGCATATTCTTAAAAGCAAAGTAAGCAAAACCTTAAATACGATGGGACGGGATGTCAATAGGAATCAACCATTGAGCCCTCTTGGGCTTCTGCTTTAGCTGGTTCACACCAAACCTGCCCCAACTCTTTCAGTAGTAACAGACCATTATGCTTAGAGGATGCGTGGGAAAACAAGTTTTATTTAGCATTGTGTCTCTAGTATTTGCACTAAGGTCACTTAGAGCTTCATAGAGAGGACAAAATTGATTTACATGAAGTTACTCAATACATTGAGTGTGTGCTAAACCCAGCACTGTGCCAGGCTCTGAAAAGACAGAGAGATGGATTTCTAAAGTGTCATTTTCTTTTTAACACCTTCCTGCCCTGCTTCGTATCTGTAGGCACAGCCCATCATCTCTCTGAAGGCCTTCAGAACCCCCAGTTATTCTTTTTCCTACTTGTTACTTTATCCATATCTTCTCTATAATACTCATTTTGTGTTTCATCCACTTGTGCCTCTCATCTGTATCTCCTTCACTAAATCAGACTCTCTAAATTCTTACCAGAATCCCTCTGTTGTCCAAGCACTGTGTCTGCCATTATGAATGGAGTTAAAATTGGTTGGATGCCTGCTTGTTTCAGGCAAGGTTTCGTGGAGGAGGGGTATTTGGATTAAGTCTTGAGCACTGGTAGGTTAGCAATTAGAGACAAGGGAACTGCATGGGTAAAGGTGTGGAGGATGGTGAGTTATGGACTATATGTAGAAGCAATGGAGGGATTGATGGAGATAGGCAACAAGGAACCATAGAGGTAAAAATCAGAGAGTGATTGATCCCCATGACCAAAAACAATAGTAATGACAGTAAGTTTTGAGAAAAGGGATATGGATTCAACAATTGAACACAGGAGATGTAACTATTGTTTTTTGGTCATGGGGATCAGTCACTCTGATTTTTACCTCTGTGGTAACAATCTTTTTTTTTTTTTTAGTTGTAGATGGACACAATATCTTTATTTTATTTATTTATTTTTATGTGGTGCTGAGGATCGAACCCAGTGCCTCATGCATGCTAGGCAAGCACTCTACCACTGCCCCTGTGGTAACAATCTTGATTGTAACAATCTTCCCAAACAATTCTTAATGAATTTGGCAATACAATTAGCATTTTAGTGATCTGTTAACAAAAAGAACTGACTTTTGTGGGAAATCATAATAATTGAGATAAATCATCTTATTGATCTTCTTGAGAGTTAATTCAGAAGTGGCTTTAAACAGTCACTGTTCCTTACACTGTTTCTTTAGTTTTCTAGTTAGTCAAATAAAAAAAGAGATTCAGAATTATTGATTCTCAAGTCTAAAGAATATCGGAAATAATTTTACTTTTCCATTTCCTTGTTAAAAATGCTTAATTACCTACTTGATTGTGATCGCTTATTAGAAACGTTTAGAGAAAAATAGGCAGCAACTGGTGAATAGTCAATAAACTAACAGATATAATTAAAGAGAATGAGCTTATTGAGTAATGGGACTTGGGCACTTAAGACCCACACTAAAAAGATGAATGAACTTGTGACTAACTTGTCAGGACTTCAGATTGTTCAGCATTAACCCATCTATTGGTTATTCATTAGTAGATCAGCAAATATTTCTTGAGTCCCTTCTATTTTCTAGGCTGTGTGCCTCTAGATACAGAGATGAAACACAGCGCCTCTCTCAAAGGAGCTTGCTTACTGGAGACAGACAAAGCATTGAAAACACAGTGTGGTACTTGCCTCCTATGAGCTGTGTACAGTGTACAAAAGAAAAAGAGGTGAGATTCTAGAAGATCTGAGTCCTAAAGGCTGCTTGAATAGCAGTTGGCCAGAGGCAATGGAGATTTGTTCAGAGACAAAGGAGGAGATAAAGAAGCCTTTATGTTTGGAGATCTCCAAGTACTCAAACCTGACTGCAGTCTAGAGCCACAAGAGAGTAGTATGGGAGAAAGCTGTAGTCATAGGCTGAGGCCAAGTCATGCAGGGCTTTGTACCCTGTTAGGGACACAGAGCTCAATGAGAAGTGGAATAATGAGCTGTTTGAATAATATGTTGAAGACACTTTTGGTGTGCTTATCTTTCAACCCAACAGTTCCACTTCCAAGAATTTGTCTACATATAAGTTTCTAAAAATGAGCAAAAATGTATACAAGGTTTTTCTCATAGTAGGAAAAAGCTCTTAAACAACCAAAATTTTTATTTATAGGGTACTGGGAAAATAAATCATGAAATGGCCACATATATAATTAAATACAAGGCAGTAACTTTATAAAATCAGGTAACTATAATCTCAAAGTATTGTAAAGATATTTTTCAGTTAAAAAAAAAATGAGGGGGCTTTTACGGTGTCTGGCATTTTTTAGAAATCTCAAACAACTGGCAAAATGTTACCATTTAGCATTTGTGTTTAATGAGTCCATGTTTAGTGTGGGCACTTATTCCCTATACTTTATGTTTGAGAAATTTCATAATTTAAATAAAAAAAGAAGTCATAATATTGACAGTTTGATTATGTGCAAAATGTTTTCTATACCTATATATTTGTATATACTTGGAAACAGCTGAAGCTCTTACATGGGATAAGGAATGAACAGAGGTAGGAGAAGAACACTTCTTACTTACTACTTACTTTGATGGCATTTGATTATTTTCTGTCTTATTCTGAGAAAAGACAGAGGTAAAAAGTGTTGATGAGTGGGGCATGGTGGTGCACACCTGTAATCCCAGCAGCTCGGGAGGCTGAGGCAGGAGGATCACAAGTTCAAAGCCAGACCCAATCTCTAAATAAAATACAAAAAAGGGCTGAGGGTGTAGCTCAGTAGTTGAGTGCCCCTGAGTTCAATCCCCACTACAAAAAGAAAAAAAAAAAAGTGTTGATGAGGAGCAAAGAGAATTGATATAGCTTAGCACTGTCCTGAGTAGACTAGGCATGATGGAATTACCCAAAGCAGAGGGCCCCTATCACATAAATGCAAACAGGAATCCTCCTGATTTGGAAATGAATCCCATTGGATAGGCATCCAGGGTGCCTGGCAGGTAAACCTATTCCCTAGTGTGGTGTAGTTAGATTCTTTGCAGTTACTTGAAAAATTATTTCCTATCTCATTTAGTTGTTACGTTACCCTTCTCATTTTAATCATTACACTTGTTTACAGAGGCAGTACTTGTATTTGGTTCAAGATCAGTAATCTACATGCTGTATTTTGTTTTCTCCTAGAGAATCCAGCCTCAGCTCCCAGATGAAGATGCTGATCACAGTGACCAAGAAGATGAACGGCCCCAAGTGGTGGTTTTAAAAAAGGGAGACTTGACAGCTGAAGAAGTCATGAAAATTAAAGCAGAAATAAAGGCTGCAAAAACAGGTATATCTGAAAGTAATTTGGTTTCCCTAATAATTTAAGGAGCCTGGAGTATGAAATTGCCTTATTTTATATAATAGAGAGGCTTGTTTGAAGGAGCTGGTCCTTGGTTCAAGTCTTGATTTTGGCACTTCACCAGATATGAGATCTTGAGCCAGTTATTTCATCTCTGAGCCTCAAGTTCCTTGTTAATCAAATGGAGACAACAAGTGTACTTAGTGGGTTGTTTTGAGGATTAGGGGTGAGTTTAAGTAAAAGCCCCATATTAAAAAAAAAAAAAAAAGTAGTAAAGTTTACAAACAAGTCAATGAAGTTCTGTGTAATAATTAGTGCCTGAAATGTGGTTTCCTAACAACTATTACATTGCTTTGTGGGAAAGTACAGTAGTTCCAAACACTTTTCAAAAATACTTAAAAATACAACCTGATTGGACTAGGGATACAGCGTTTGCAAGTGAATGCTGATCTTGAGGGGCAAATAACTAGAAGTCCATACTGAATTTACTCCAAGGATATCCTTAAATACAGTATGAGAATATTTTTGCCATTTGACTCTTGTTAATGGCAAAATAATGAGAAAAAAATCTTTAACTTTGTTTTTGCTTCAGATGAAGAACCAGCTCCCGCTGATGGAAGAATCATGTATCGAAAACCAGTCAAGCGTCCCTCAGATGAAAAATATTCAGGTTTAACAGCAAGCTCAAAAAAGAAGATAACAAGTGAAGACAAAATAAATAAGCAGGACTTAGTTAAAAAGAACTCACAAAAGCAAATAAAAAACACCAGCCTCCTTTCTTTTGACAATGAAGAGGAAAACGAGTAAGTGTAAATCATTTTGTACTTAGTCTTCTTTGAAAGTACATAAGGTATTTTTTAAACAATATTTCTTTTTTTATGTCTTTTAAAATAACATTTTTTCCCTGTTACACAAGTTCATCTTAGAAAATACAGAAAAAAATTTAATAAAACAAAATTTATGGCTATCCATCAATAATCCTTTGACAGGAAATGTCAACTTTATAGATTTTGACATTCTGTTACTTGCAATATGTGTATATATGTATGTAAATTATATTTTATAAACAAAATTGAGATTGTATTATGTGTGTTTTCTGTCCTTCCTTCTTAGTTGACATTACATTGTGAGCATTTTTTCAGGTCATCAAATTTCATAAATCTGACATTAATAGCGACAGAGAATTTCATAATTAAATGAATTCCCCTTATTGTATCTTCTCCATTAGCAGAACACTTTGAGTGAGGGAGATGATAATGCAACTAGTTAAAAATACTTCCCTAGCTGGGTGCAGTAGCTCACTCACATCTATAATCCTAGTGACTCCGTGCTGGGGCAGGAGGATTGCAGGATCAAGACAAATATCAGCAACTTAATGAGGCCCTAAGTAATTTAGCAAGGACCTGATAGTAAAGCACCTCTGAGTTCAATCCCTGGTACCAAAAAAAAAAAAACCACACAGTTCCTGCTAAGGGTGGCCCTGTTACTTTGCTCTGGCAAGGTAAAAGGTGCAGGTGGAAGCCTGCTTAATAAAGATGCTGGGTTTTTTTATACAAAAGAATGGGCTTGAAAAATATGAGCCTTTGCCCTTATCTCTTCATCCTGCTCGGAGTACAGACATGAAAGCTAGAAGTAGCAGAGCTGTGTTTTTTTGGCACACAGAAGACAACTACTTTCTGGGGGTATTAAAGTGGAAAACTTGAAGGAGCTTGGATCTTTATGGCATGCACCAGACTTGGACTGCTAGCCTCTGAACTTCTTCATACATAAGAAGAATAACCACTATGCTTATTTAAGGTTCTGACAGGTTTCTCTTAAAGGGTCCTGCAGTCAAATGCCATCGATCCCTACGGGCTGGGGTTGTAGCTCAGTGAAAGAGCACATACCTAGCATGGTGAGGCACTAGGTTCAATTCTCAGCACCACATAGAAATAAATAAAGGTCCACTGACAACTTAAAAAAAAAAAAATTAAAAAAAAAAAGTCATCTCTAAGTGATACAGTAAATAACTGGTTAAACCTGAGTGTATTTCTGATGATTGAATGAATTACTGGAAACATTTTTTAAACATTTATATTATTTATTAAGAGTTAAAAGTATTTGAATATTTTTAAAGCAGATGTTTAGTAAAAATTGCTTTTTTGTTTGTTTTGTTTTGGTTTTTACCATTTTGTTCATTAAGCAACCCTAAGAGGCCACTTGACCTCAGGCAGAATAACAGTGCACCAGCTTTGGGTTGACACTAGGCTTTTTCTTTTTTGGGGGTCAACTTCCTATTTTCAAATGGTACTTAATCGGTTAAGTTCAATTGGCATTTTCTTTGATCTACCAATGAGGCTAAACTTCATTTTTTTAAAGTTTTTTTTAATACCTTTATTTTTATTTATTTAATTTTATGTGGTTCTAAGGATTGAACCCAGTGCTTCACAAGTGCCAGGCAAGCGCTCCCACTGAACTATAACCCCAGCCTAAGGCTAAACTTATGATGTTAACTATTCTTTTCTGTTCCTTGAATTAACTTTTTGTTAATTTCCATTAGTTTAGTCATGTTTCTCTTACTAATTTATAAATTGTGTAATTTATGAACCTTTTGTTCTGTCTCAGATAAAGAATCACCTCACAAGGCATAATCCCAGTGACTCGGGAGGCTGAGGCAGAAGGATCACAAGTTCCAGGCCAGCCTCAGCAACTTAAGGAAACCCTATCTCAAAATGAAAAGTAAAAATGGCTGGTGGTATAGCTCAGTGGTAGAGTGCCCTGGGTTCAGTCCCCAGTATCAAAAAAACTATCACCTTTAATCGCTTATTCTTTGTTTCATTTTTTACATTTTGAACTTTATCCCACCTGGAATTAAAATAGATATACTTTTTTTCTCTCCAGTAATCAATTATTGTAGACCCATGCCTGCTTCTCATTTGAAAGGCCATCTGAATGAGAGGTTTTTCCAAATGTTGGGATAGGGAAAGAAGAGAAGCATTGTAAAGCCTGCAGCTTTCCAGGTAATTCCTCAAGCACCTGCTTAATGCTAATAATTTTTGTCATTACTAAAAGTCACCCAAAACTGGGGGCTTAAGACCCCATCTTCACCAGCCACATCTGTCTGAAATTAGGAATTTCAGAGCATCCTGTCATGAATTTGGTGCCATATCTGTCTCCTCCATTTTAAGTATCCAAAGACTACTCCAAAGCAGGGTGTGGGAGAAAGACTACTCACAGTTGACCTGTAGGTGGAAAGGGAGCCCTGATATAGGCTCTTTCTAAATTATTCAACTAGTCCTGAAGCCATTCTGCAATACTCTCTTTAATGTATACCCACTTGTTATGTAAGCCATGGTGTTTTGTTTTGTTTTTGTTTTTTTTCCTCTTTCTATTTATATTATTGTTCTATTCTTGAACCATAACTATACTGGTTTATCACCACTGTATCCTCAGAACCCAGAAGAATATCTGGCATATTAGGTACACATTAAATATATTTAGAATGAATGAGAGTGTTGTCTTTAATCTTTTCATAGGTCAGTGGACCCTGGGCCAGCAGCACCAGAGCCACTTAGGAACCTGAAAAATGCAGATTCTCGGGCCTTGCTACTAAATCAGAAGCTTGGTGTAGTTTACCTAGCTCTGCAAGTCTGACAGGTGATTTTGATATGAGAACCACTCATAAGACTATTAGAACTATTATAAGAAATAAAATGAAAAATTTAAGCAAGAACTATGAAAAACTATTATAAAGGCCTAAATCTTACAAATGCATCATATTAAGGAAACCTTTACTGCAATTGATACATGTAACAATGTAAATGTAATTGCTGTGAGTTTACCTCCTCCCCACTACCCCCATATCCTCAGACCCTCAGATTCCTGAGGGTGAATGACAGAACTGATTGTAGCAAGGGGAGCTGGCCCTCCCTTCTTGCACAGGTTTCATTCCTTGGATCCTATCTGTAATATTTTTATGGTCAGACAGACCCATAACATATCTTGCCTGATTTCTGGCCCCTTCCCTGGCTCATCTCTAAATTCAGTGTCTCTTCTCACTCAGTGTACCTTACCCAGTCCAGTTTCCTGGGGATGCATCTAGCTGTGCTACACTCTGTAGGAGTCAAATTGCCCCATATATCGAAAAGCTTCCAATTCCTGTAACATATGAAACTTACTAAAGGGGCTTAGAAGCTGATAAGGCTGTCCTGGGGTTGCTCTTGCCACCCTGGTTTCTTCAAATCCATAGGGCCCTGTGACAGCACAAGATGACAGCAGAGACAGCATATATTGGTTCCCAAACAAGTTCACAAGCCCTTTTCTCCTACGAGCTTGCCTTCAAATCCCAAGGGTTCTGTGCGCCACTAAGCCACAACATGCTGGTGTGAAAAGAAAGCTAAACTCAAAGCCAAAATGTAATGCACTCCTACCTATGCCCGGGATGGTTGGTTTGGGATCTATTAGATTCCTCTTCAAAGGACTCTGAAGGTAAAGGTGCCACATGGCAGAAAGCAGCACCCTTTCAGTTCTGCCACATCCTGGCATGTAACATCCAGCACATTCCTTCTCTCTCGGCTTCACAGAGGCCCTTTAATGCTTCCCAGGAAGGAAATATTGGAAAAAAAAAAAAAAAAAGCATTTGCTGGGAGGAGAAACAAAATTTTTTCTGCACATCCTATTTATTTAAGAAAGTCTGTGAAAAAAAAAAAAAAAAAAAAAGGTCTGTGAGCTTAGGAGGACTCCAGGAGACAATACAGGCAACTAGGCCACCTAAAACAGGATCTAGGGTAGGAACATTGGCTCAACTGGTCACTAAAGCCACATCTTGCTGATCTAGGATGACTGACCATCCAGCTCACCCAAGATTAAGGGTTCTCCTGGGGTATAGAACTTTCAGTGGTAAAACTGAGTAAGTCCCAGGGAATAACCGACACTGATTTCTTTTCTTTTCCTTCCTCCCCTCCCCTCCCCTCCCCTTCCCTCCTTTTTTCCTTCCTTCCTTTCCCTCCCTCCCTCCCTCCCTTCCTTCCTTCTAACTAGTTCTTTCCCCAAGTGTTTCCCCTTGCAAGAGACCCTCTTACGGTGGGTACACACTGAGTGCCTGCTCTAGTCCATCCACTATTCTGTTCCCAGGAGCTCATAGTCTATTGGAAGAAACCAATCAAATAATAATAATAATTATTATTATTATTATTATTTTGGTACCAGGGATTGAACTCAGGGGCACTCAACCACTGAGCCACATCCCCAGCCCTATTTTGTATTTTATTTAGAGAAAAGTCTCACTGAATTGCTTAGCCCCTTACCATGGCTGAGGCTGGCTTTGAACTCACAATCCTCCTATCTCAGCCTCCCAGGTCGCTGGGATTACAGGTGTGTGCCACCATGCCTGGCCCCCAATCAAATTATTACACAATGGGTTGGATGCTGGAACAGAGGTTCTTGCACCCAACATTTGTTCCACCTCTTTTTTTTAAAATTCTTTTTAGATATTGTGCCACATCTTCTGATTTTAGTTGGGAACTTTTGTGAAAAACAAACAAAAACCACCAATATCTGTGAACTTCTCCTGTTAAGGTTGAGTGCAATATTATGAGGGGGGAGGGTTTGTTACATTGGTTGTTTGATTTTGTTTTTATTTATTTATTTAAAAGAGAGAGGTGAGAGAGAGAGAGAGAGAATTTTTACTATTTATTTTTTTTTTTAGTTTTCGGCGGACACAACATCTTTGTTTGTATGTGGTGCTGAGGATCGAACCCGGGCCGCACGCATGCCAGGCGAGCGCGCTACCGCTTGAGCCACATCCCCAGCCCTGATTTTGTTTTTAAACTATCAGTACTCATATTTCATCCAAACCTGGCAAGGAACCAGATATAGATAGACAGATAGATAGATAGATACATAGAGATAGAGATATATGTTTTTTTAAAAAATATTTTGTTTATAAATATGGCAGGTATATCTTTAACAATATCTATTTTTATAAAATAATCAATATAGCTGTGCATGGTGGTGCACATTTGTAATCCCAGCAACTCAGGAAGCTAAGGCAGTAGGATCAGAAGTTCAACCTGGGCACCTTAGCAAGACCCTGTCTCAAAACAAAACCAAACACTGTGGTATAGTGCTCCCGAGTTCAATCCCTAACACCACAAAAATAATAATTATTTTTAAAAATAATCATCACTCAATACATAATTCATTCTTTATTAACTATTACCATCTTCCACTAGACCATATTCAAATTTCCCTAATTGTCTCAAAATGTCTACAGTGGATTTGTTCAAATAAGAAACCAAACAAACTCCATTATATTTGGTTAGTTTGTTTCTTAAAATATTTTCAAATATATAATATTTTTAAATGTATAATTACTCCTCTCCTCTTCCTTCCCCCACCCCCATTTTCATTTTGTTGAAGAAACTGGGTTATTTGTTCCATACCGTCTTCCACATTCTCTGGATTTGGTTTATTAAATCTCTTGGCATTAATAATGGTGTTTCTCAAGCTTTAACATGCATAAGAATCACCTAGCAATTTTGTTATACCCTAGGTCCTATTCAGTAAGTCTGTGATGAAGCCTGAGAAACAGCATATCATCTCTAACAAGCTTTCAGATATTGCTGATAACTGCTGGTCCAGGGACTATTCTTCAAGCACTTCTCTATCTTCCAAGTATCCTAAAAACTGGCATTAGATTCTAAGCTTGTTCAGACTCAAGTTTTGGTAGTTCTCATTCAGGGCTACTTGACAAAGAGAGCTATGTACTCCCTACTATATCAGATCAGAAGGCACATGACACCTCATGATGATACTTTGGTGATGGTAAGACGGATCAGTTTGTTATGTTATCAGCTTGATCCATTCATTTTAAAGTTTCCTTTTATCCTTTAACCTAACAGTTGGACATTTAATTTTTAAAAAGCTATGTGATTCTAATATATAACCAGGGGTTGAGAACTAGAATAGCCCATACTCAAGCCACATCCACATGAATTAAATCAGAATCTAATAAAAAGCAGGGTGGGGATGTAGCTCAATGGTGGAGTGTCCCAGGATTCAATCTCCAGTACCTCAAAAGTAAATATAACAAAGCACTTCAGGTGTTGCATTGTGTGATCAAGGCTGTAAGCCACTGCCCTAAAACCTAGAGCACTCTAAATTTTAGGAGAAAAAAGCTCCAAGCAAGAGGCAAGCCAAAGTCTTGGCAGGGAAGCAACTATGCAGTACATTCCATGAGAACTGGGCCATATTAGTGTATAGTATTTCCTTTAATTTTTTAGCCCTGAAACTAGTAAAACCTTGTTAAATGTGACAGTTAAGATTTAGCTGGTCCACAGTAATTAAGGGTCCAAAGTCCTAGCTTGAAGTTGGAATTGGATAGAGGAGAAAAGAGCCTCCTAAAGTTAATAACACTAATGGTGGCTCAGTACTGAAGAAGCTAGAATCCTAGGAGGTGGCAACAGAAATATGAATGCCAACAGGCTGCAAGGCTTGTCTGTGGGCAAAAGTGTCAGTGAAAGATGACAGCTATTCCCCCTCTCCTCAATGAGTCCTTATTACTCTGAGCTTTGCTTATTTGGAGCTAAAATATACTTTAAGAATTTATTAATATAACAGATGGTAGTTTAATTCAATATGTTCACTTGCCAAAAGAAAAGGTTGAAAAATCTCTACTGTCCTCCAAAAATAATAACAGTACTAGGGATCAAACCCAGGGCCTCACACAGGCCAGGCAAATGCTCTATCAATTAGCCTCATCCCCAGCCTTCCAAAAAATAGTTTCAGATTTACTGCCTGGGAAATCCCAACATATTGTTGGTGGGATGATTAAATGATTTATTCTCTAAAGAATGCCATAAAAACACCAAGGATGCATTTCTTTAACCATAAATTTCACTTCTAGGAATTATCCTACAAATATCATGCACATGTGTCTAAAGACAAGTATGTTATATATGCAGCATTGCTTATGACAGAAAAATAAAAGGAAGCTATAAACTGTTCATCAGTAGGGAACTAATTAAACAATAATAGTCTATTCATACCATGACATTGGGCAGAGGTAGGGGAAGGTCTCTATTGATAAAAATCAATCTCTTAAGATGTAAGTGAAAAAGCAAAACAATGGCCATTGTATATCATGCAATAGGTTTTTTGTTTTGTTTTGTTTTTTAAGAAGGAAATCAAGAGAATACAACAAGCTACCAACTGGAAGAAAATATTTGCAAAAGTCCTCTCTGATACTGGATAATTATACAAAATATACAAAGAAGTCTTAAACTCATGATGATAAAACAAACAACCCAATTAACAAATGGGTAAAAAGGTGGGTACAGTGGCACATACCTGTAATTTCAGCTGCTGGGAGGCTGAGGCTAGAGGATTGAAATTTCAAGGCAAGCCTGGGCAATTTAGTGAGATCCTGTCTCAAAATAAAATTTAAAAATATTGGGGATGGGGTTATGGCTCAGCAGTAGAGCACCTGCCTAGCATGTGTGGGGCCCTGGGTTCAAATCTCAGCACCACATAAAAATAAATGAATAAAGGTATTGTGTCCAGCTACAACTAAGAAAATATTTTTTAAAAATTTTAAAGGTTTGGGGATGTAGTTGAGTGGTACAGTGTTTGCCTGGTTCTAACCCCAGTACTGCCAAAAAGACAAGACAAGACAGGGGGAATAGACCTGAATAAACATTTAATCAAAAATAATGTACAGAGGCTAAGATTGTAGATCAGTGGTAAAGCGGTTGCCTAGCACGCATGACACACTAGGTTCAATCCTCAGCACCACCTACAAAAAATAAATAAAGTTATTATGTCTATCTACAACTAAAAATATATTTTTTAAAAAGATGTTCAATGTGTCTCTAGGGAACTGCAAATTAAAACAAGGAATACCAAAACACTGACACCACAATATGCTGACAAGATATGAAGCAAGAGAAACACTGATTCATTATCAATGCAAATACACAATGTACACTTTGGAAGACAATTTAGCAGTTTGTTTTTATTCTTGTTTTAAACAAAACTAAACACTTAGCTGGGTGTGGTGGCGCACACCTGAAATCCCAGCAGCTTGGGAGGCTGAGGCAGGAGGATGGCAGCCTCAGCAACTTACTGAACCCTAAGCAATTTAGTGAGACCCTGTCTCAAAATAAAGTAAAAATAAAATAAAAAGGGCTAGAATGTAGTTCAGGAGAAAAACACCCCTAGATTCAATCCCCAATACCCAAAATTAATTAACTAGAAGTTTTTTAAGTGAAGAAAATTCTTACATGCAAAAATGTTTCATGTTTAAATTTATATTAATGGCTAACAAGAGCACATGCTATGTGATGGACATTGCAATAAATGGATTAACTAGATTATAAGAAAAAATGGTTGAATGTAAATATCAGAGCAGAAAAATAGGTCACCATATTATAAACAAATCAGTGAATTAGAGGGGAGTTATTAAAATGCAATTGATAAAGTCTGTGGTAATACTGTTAAATCCACATGTTAAACCAAATAACAAGATATTTAGTACAATTATCATTGTTATTTTTAAAAGGGAAGAAAAATGGCTAAACAGAGAAGACTGGAATCAGTACTCTAGATTAGACTATATTTCAAGAGTAAAAGCATATAATTTTAATTTTTCCACACTTCTAATTTTATAAATGTATTTCAATGAGTACACATTAAATTGAAAAAAATATTTTTTTAAAAAATGGTTTTCATAATTTGGCTTCCTCACATATTGTTGGAAAGGTTAAACAATGGAAAATTATCTGTATGTCAGTTTGGTACTATAAAAAGCAAGACTGGGGCTGGGGTTGTGGCTCGATGGCAGAGCACTTGCCTGGCATGTGGGAGGCACTGAGTTTAATCCTCAGCACAGCATATAAATAAATAAAAAATAAAGGTACATCAACAACTAAAACATATTTTTAAAAAATCAGGACTGTATGTGGAATACTAAGATCTAGATTTCAGATACAACTCTGATACTACCTGCTCGACTCTAAACAAGTTAAATACTTTGTTTTTTTACCTTGACTCTGGAGAATGGATAATAACTTCATTAGAGCTGCTTATTTATATTAATGAGCTTAGTGTTGTATAAAACACCATCAAAAGTATCCCTCGGGTTGGGATTGTGGCTCAGTGGTAGAGCACTTGCCTAGCACATGTGAAGCATGGGTTCAATCCTCAACATCAGATAAAAATAAACAAAATAAAGGTATTGTGTCAATCTACAACTTAAAAATTTTTTTTAAAGTATCCTTGATCTCTCTACATGTATGCCTATGGGAGGGGATGAACTGGAGATGGAACCCTGGGGCCACCTGCATGCCAAGCAAATGCTCTACCACAGAGCTATACAACAAGCCTGGGTTCTTTGTGATTTTCCAAAATCATTCTTTGTTGTAAGTGAGGCACTCCTGACCCATTTACATCACCAAGACATTGTTCTCCCTTTTCCTTTGACAAGGTCTCCTGCCCTCCTCTTCCCTTAAAAGACCACTTTCAGTCTTGTGCTCCTAGAATTCACTATTACAGCTACATCCTCACCAACAGATTCTCTATATTCCAACCCTCTCTGCGTTCTCCTCATGACTTCCCTACCTCTCCCAAACACAAAAGTCCCATAATGTGAGATTTTATTCAGATACTGTTAGCGAGACTTCCTTCTGCATGAGCAAGAAAAACCTAAGATCTGACATCAAATTAAATTTTATAAGGAGATATCTTTTACAAGGTCCACTAAAATCCCAATTATTTCTTTTATCACTAATTAAATTTGAAGTTTCAGCCACCATACTGTAATCCCAGCAACTGGGGAGGCTGAGGCAAGAGGATACCAAATTTGAGGCCAGCCTAAACAATTTAGCAATGCCCTAAGCAACATAATGAGACTGTGTCTCAAAATAAAAAATAAAAAGGGCAGGGAATGTGGTACAGTGATTAAGTAACCCTAAATTCAATCCTGGTCCCCCCCGCCAAAAAAATCTGAAATTTCTCAAGGACAATTAAATTGTAAATGCATACTTATATCCAGACATTATGGTTTAAATAAACTTCTGTAAAATAAAAGGAAATCACAGACCATTACAAAAATGATCTTAATACACAAGCCAGGTGCTATGGTACATGCTTGTAATTACAGTGACTCAGAGGCAGAGGCAGGATGATCACTAGGTTCATGGCCAACCTCAGGAATTTAGCATGACCCTATCTCATAAATAAAATTAAAAGGGTTACAGATGTAGCTCAGTGGGTACAGTGCCCCTGGGTTCAATTCTCACTACTACAAAAAGAAAAAAATTAAAATACCTTATGAGAACCAAAAAAAAACTAATGCTGATTTGCTAGTTCTTAATAGGCATATTTTTTTTATAGACTTTTAGAACATCTGTAAAACAACTAATGGACATTAATTCTCATCTGCAATTTATTTTATTCTTAAGACAACCCTATGAATTATCTGCATTTTTCTTTTCGGGGTAAGAATGGGGAAGCTAAGGCTTGGAGAGGATCAGATCACAATCCATTAAGTGGCAGAGATGGCATCAAATTCAAGACTTGTTCTGAGGTCTATTTTATTAATTTTTAGGACACAACATCTCTAGTTCAAAATATAAAATATTTATGACAATTACTAAGTCTTAAACTCCCAGGAATTCGTAAAGAAAAAAGGCATTTCATATAAATCTTTTCACATTCATTTCATTCCAAGTTTTAATCTCCAGCATGAAGCCTCTGATGTCGAACAAGCGCTGAACTGTGCCTAAAGGGTTTCCTACATTCAGTGCATTCATAAGGTTTTTCTCCAGTATGACTTCTGTAATGCTCACTGAGGTGTGCTTGTTTGCGAAAAGTTTTATCACACTCACTACACTTATAAAGTTTTTCTCCAGTGTGAGTTCTTTCATGTACATCAAGGAAGGAGTTCTGAGTGAAGGCTTTTCCACACATGGTACATGTGTAGGGCTTCTCCCCTGAATGAACCGTCTGATGCTGCATGAGGCATGTGCTCTGATTGAAAGCTTTCCCACATTCATTACACTTGTAAGGCTTATCTCCAGAATGGCTTCTCTGATGACGAGTGAGGCATATGCTCTGACTGAAAGCTTTGCCACATTCCATGCATTTATATGGTTTCTCTCCAGTATGAATTCGTTGGTGTTTAATAAGGGATGGGCTCTGACAAAAGGTTTTCCCACATTCATTGCATTTATAGGGTCTCTCTCCAGTATGAATTCTTAGATGCTGGACAAGGACTGCTTTTGTTTGAAAAGCTTTCTCACATTCATTACATTTATAAGGTTTCTCTCCCATATGAATTCTCAAATGTTGAGTGAGATTTGACTGTTTAAGGAAACATATTCCACATTCACTACACACATAGGGCTTCTCTCCTGTGTGAATCTTATGATGCTGGAGAAGAGATGATCTCTGAGTAAAGAATTTTCCACACTCACTACATTTTGAAGATTTCTTCTGCATGTTAACACTTCATTGTTTCACTTGGAGTGAAATCTGGCTAGAACTTGTGCTGTCTGTAACACATTGAAAGAGCTTCTGTCTAAATAGGTTTAGAGTTAGATGAAACCTCTTAAAATTCATACTTAGGAGGTATCTTCTTAAAGATGGTTGTCACTAGAGGAATATTGTTCCCAGTGAAAGTGGTGTGACTGTGTGTGTGCACACAAACATGTGCACATGTTGTCCTCTCTGTAGTTCCTATAGGATTTCCCGCTTTCCTGGAGCATGTATTTTCAACTTTTCCAAAGTCAGTCCCTGACAACCAGCTTGTCTGAAGAAAGAAAAGAAGTAGTGACAACATTAGGAATCAAATTTTCTATCATAATTGATAGAGCATAACTGATGGAACATAAATTCTGAAGCAATCGAATGCTAGCAACTAATCCAGGTAATCTGGGATCATCTAGGTTTGCATCTATAATGATAAATAGTACAAAATGTGAAAGAAATAAGTATCTTGGACTTGGGAAAATTAAATGTGGAGGAAATTTGTTGTCCACCTACTTCTCAAAATAGGTGAATAGTTATTATATTTCCTATAAAGAATATTTTGGCAGAATAGTAATAACTAAAGTTTCCTTTCGAAGATTTCAAAGGGCATCCATGCTGTAACTTTCACTAGAACCATCTTACAAATTTTTTCTTATTCACTTGCCTTGTCAGGTATGTCGTTGAACCCCTTTCTGTGCAAAATGTTCAGGTAGTTTTTCCCCTATCTCCAATTGAGAAATCTATAGGTTTGAAAATTAGAGTCCTGCTTACTGAAAGAATATAACATTGTTTTCATTCAGGAAAGTGAGACAAAGGTCATTAGGAAGAAGTCAGGACAGTAACCTGAATATAGCAACGGGGCACAGGGTCTGGCTCTCACCGTTGTAGCCAAAGAAATGCTCTAGAATTTGAGATACACTAATTATATTTACAAGAGGAAATATGTAGAAAACAAAGTCCCTTTGTTAATTTAAACTGAAAACTTTTTATGCTCAATGTCCTACTGGTTAACACAGTCACTTCACTCTAGAAAAAAATCATATGGGAACCAAATCATTGTCATTAGAATGCTCCCAGAGAAGCACCGAATTGGAGGAAAAAAGGAGTACTCAGATGAGTGTAATGGCATCAAATGCCAAAACCATGATGTTGGAATAAGGGCACAGAGAACAAGAGAGTGGATACTCGGCGGGTATACATCACAGCAACTGCTTCTCTGGATGCACTGTAGACACTGGCATATTCTTGTTTTCTGAGGCTCCTTGCTATCTTGGTTTTCTATTCACATGTTATGCATGAATATATCCTTATTTTAATATTTAGGAAGAAATCAAATTATCAATATTTTAAGATGATATAATCCTATACTTATCAAGATCCCAAAACTTCTACCAAAGGACCTCTAGAACTGATAGACAAATTTAGCAAAGTAGCAGGATACAAAAGCAACATACAAAAATCAATGAATCTGCTGACAAAGAAATCAGGAAAGTAATTCCATTTATACTATAGCTTCAAAACAAACATCATATGAATATATTTAATTAAAAAGGTAAAAGACCTTTAACAACAAAAATTAGAGAACACTGAAAAAAGAACTGTAAAACATTAGAAGATGCAAAGTCCACCCAGGTTCCTGGATAGGCAGAATTAATATAGTTCAAATGGTCATTAGCAAAAGTGTTCTACAAATTCAATGCAATTCCCATCAAAATATCAACAACATTCTTCATAAATCTTATAAGAAAACAGTTCTAAAATTCATATGGAAGAACAAAAGAGCCAGTATAGTCAAAGCAATTCTGAGCAAAAAGATCAATGCTGGAGGCATCACAATACCCAATTTCAAATTATAATACACAGCTATTGTAACTTAAATAGCATGGCACCAACATAAAATAGACTCAGAGAAAATTAAAAAAATAGAAGACACAAAGACAAACACACATAGCTACATTCATATGATCCTTGACAAAGTCACCAAAAATATGCTGGAGAAAAGAGAGCTTTTTATCAAATGGTACTGGGACAACTGGATAGCCACATGTACAAGAATGAAACTAGATCCCTGTCTCACACCCTACATAAAAGTCAACTCAAAATGTATTTAAAAACCTAGGAAATATATTAAAAACTTTGCAATTGCTAGAACAAAACATAAGGAAACACTCCAACATATAGGTTCAGAGAACAACAACTTCCTCATTAGGACTTCTAAAGCTAAGGAAATAATGCCAAAAATTAGAAATGGGTCAGCATTATGTTAAAATGTTTCTGTACAGCCAAGGAGACAATTAATAGCATAAAGATAACCAGGTGTGGTAGCACACATATGTAATCCCACTGATTGAAAGTTCAAGGCCAGACTCAGCAATTTATCAAGGCTCTAAGTCACTTAGTGAGACCATTTCAAAATAAAAAATAAAATTTGGGGGGGGGGGTTGTGGCTCAATAGTAACGTGCCCCTGGGTTTTTTTGATACAAAAAAAACATGAAGAAAGCCTACAGATGGAAGAAAATCTTTTCCAGCTTCTCCTCTGACAGATGGTTAATATCCAGATTATATAAATAATTTTTAAAGCTTACCCCAAAAAGAAAAATAATAAACAGGCAAATGAACTAAACATACATTTCTCAAAAGAAGTAGTAAAAATGGCCAACAAATATATGAAAAAATGTTTAGAATCTCTAGCAACAAGGCAAATGCAAATCAAAACTGCAACTGAGGCCTGGAATAGTAACACATGTCTGTAACCCTAGACTCAGGAGGCTAAGGTAGGAAGATTGAAAGTTCGAGGGCATCCTCAACTTTTAGGGAGACCCTGTCTCAACATAAAAATCTACAAAATGGGATGAGGATATAGCTCAGTGGAAAGGTTCCCGGGATCCACTCTCCAGTACCACAAAATAGAAACAAACAAACAAAAAACATATTACATGAGATTTCTTCTCACTCCAATTAGAATGGCAATTATCAAGAATACAAATAATAACAAATACTAGGAAGGATGCAGGGGAAAAAGAAACTCTTACACACTGTTGGAGGGACTTTAAATTAGTATAACCACTATGGATATTGTGCAGAAGTTCTTCAAAAGACTAGGAATGGAACCACCATATAACCCAGCTATACCATTATCCAGTATTTATTGAAGAGTTAAAGTCAGCATACTATACTGATACAAGTATGCCCAAGTTTATAGCAGTTATAGAATCAGCCCAAGTATCTAGTAACAGATGAATGAACACAGAAAATGTAGACTAGGACTGGAACCACCAGATAACCCAGCTATACCATTACCGAATATTTATTGAAGAGTTAAGTCAGCATACTATACTGATACAAGTATGCCCAAGTTTATAGCAGTTATAGAATCAGCCCAGGTATCTAGTAACAGATGAATGAACACAGAAAATGTATGTGTGTGTACACACACACACACACACACACACACACACACAGAGTTTTAGTCAGCTATCAAGAAGAAAAAAATTGTCATTTTCAGGAAAATGAAACCAAAAAGCATCTTGTTGAACGAAATAAGCCATATTCAGAAAGTCAAGGGTTATACGTATGTTCTCATATGTAAAAACTATGGAATAAAAAGGGGGGAAAGGGGATCCCATAAAATTATAAGGGAGGGCAAAGAAAGGGTATCAGGGAGAGAAAGGAGGTAAGGAAAAGGGAGTAATAATAGGGAATGAAACTGACTAAATTAAGTACATGTATGAATGTCACAATAAATCCCAATATTATGTGTCAATTTAAAAATACATGTGTACCAGATAAAAGAGTCATTTTATAGCTATTACCCCCACCCCACCCTACCCAAACAAACTCATTCCCTTTCTCTGATATTATAAAGTTTTGGAGTATATTCTTCCATTGCTTTTTCTACATATTTTTCTACACACAAATAGCAATTGATGCTTTTTACATAAAAAAAAATTGTTCCCTAAGTCTTTCTCTACAATTTGCTTCATTACTATCTGAGGAGAGTAGCACAATGATAAAAGTTGGGCTAATGAGTAGATTTTTTTTGGTTTTTTTTTTTTTTTTTTGTGCTGAGGATTGAACTTAGGAGCATTCTACTGAGCCACATACACAGCCCTATTTCACATTTTATTTAGAGACAGGGTCTCACTGAGTTGCTTAGCACCTCACTGTTGCTGAGACTGGTTTTGAACTCGTGGTCCTCCTGCCTCAGATTCCTGAGCCACTGGGAATATAGGCGTGCACCCAACTTAAGTGAACTTTTGAAAGGCAGCAAGAGGAATGCACGAAGGCAGCAGGTGCTACTTAAGGACTTAAGCATCCTTGAATAAAAATTCCTCCACAGAAGAAAAGGCTAGAAAACAAAGGCTAACCAAGCATAATGGAAAAGCAGCTGACTTCAGGTCATACTGTAGGGCTAAAGTAGAGAGCAGTGGGACATGCAACAGACTCAAGAGGTCTGGATTTTAGTCTTAGTTCTGCCCTTGATTTGTTCAATGACTTGCTGCAAGTCACTTAGCCTCATTTGTGATTTTTTTTCTTATCTGTGAAATTAAAAATTGATAATAGCTATAGTAGCTTATAATACCAAAATTCTTTGACTCTAAAACAGAAGGCAAAAATGAAAAAAACCTAAAACCAAGCCCTTCCAATCCATCTTTGATTGAAGTTGCTTGTTCCTTTATTTGAAAACCACTAATCGAGCAAGCAATGATGAGGAAAGTTCTTAGGAGTGGCTGGAATCAGCTGAGTGCTGTGGCACATTCCTATAACCCTAGGAACTTGAGTCCCTAAGGCAAGGGGATCACAAATTGGAGACCAATCTCAGCAACTTTGTGGGGAGCCTCTCTGAATGACCACATGCCACCCAGTCCTGAAGTAGGGGGC